CTTCGCCGTCTCGGAGCGGCTGAAGCGGGTCGTCGGAGCGGCGACGGCATTCTCGTCACCCCCGTCGACGTGGGCCCGCGAGGGGAGGGGGTGGCGAGGCGCAGGCGCAGGGGCCGAGAAGGGGATGGGGTTAGAGAGAAAGGGGGAGGCCGGGCGAGGGGCCCGCGCGGACCCCCCGGCGACTCGCTCCCCCGTCGAAAGGGAAGGCGGCGGCGGTTTCGCGGGCGGCTCCACAGGGGGTCGCGCGGGGTTGTCTCCAGGGGCGGAAGGCAAGGCCGTCCCGCCCTCCTCCACCACCTCCCTACCGTTGGAGGAGATGAATGAGGAGGAATCGGTCGAGGGAAGCCGCCCACCCTCGGTTGTGGGGTTAGCAGTCATGAAGCAACTTGGAAAGTGAGCTACTTGGATTGGATAACTAAGAACACCAGTAAGAATAAGGGGGTTTCCCAAACAAAACTAAAAAAAATCTAAACCTTTTATTCAACTATAATAAAGGGAAATGGGTATAAACGAAGTCGATAAAAAACGAATATATAGATATATGCATATATGCATATATATCACAAACACTGCTCCCTCAACGAGCTCCTTTACTGTCCTTTTATACCAAGAATCAGATTAGGATGCGTATAGTTAATTATTTTGGTCATTCAATATATTTACAATGGTTACGTCACAGAAAAAGTGCAGATGTTCTGTTGTATCCATTATTCTGACCTCAACTACTCTCTAATAAGTGCTCATTATAATGGAAAAAAAAAAACATTCGATCCGCCCTTTGTTGAAAAGGCTATATAGATTGCATGATAAAAAGGGCTTCCAAGCTCAAAGAGAAAGTACTCTAGTGGCAAACAGTGGAGCCGAAAAAAGCAGCACGAGTGACCCCGACCCTGCTTATGGAGTTTTTGGCTTTTATTTTCTTATATGGATAGCCTCCTTGAACACAAAGCCACATTATGTGCCTTGTATGAATCAAACGGCTGCATGAGATGCTATATCGAAGACGGAAAGAAAAAAAGCCTCACTTTCTGATCTATAGGCAGAGACCTTCTTTCCGAAAAAGGACAATAATGTCAATATTAGATATAGCTAACGCCGAACTCTATCAGCCTTACCACATGATTATCTAAGCTATAGGCGACTATTTGTTGTATATTGGCATTTTTGCTCGCCCATAGTAATCCCTTTTTTTTACACTTACTTCCATTTTAAACATGACTTTTAATTTTTGCTGTGCCTCATAAATTTCTGCTGCAATGAAAAAATAAATAATCGAATAAGGTTTATTCGCGTTGTTACGTCAGTGAAATCTACATGATTAAAGAAAAAAAAACAAAACGGAATAGTGTGCGAAATATTTTGTTATTCTGTCTTCCATCCATCCAGCAATTTCATTGCTTCCACGCGTAACCTTTGCAGTGATTTAGTACCCTTGCAATTCTTGCACTTCCAGCCATGCGTGCGTAGCTGCATGCCCGGAACATTGTAGCGCCCACACACCACGCAAAGCTTAGGAAGCTGACCGTTAAATGGGCCCGGACCTCTAGAATCAATACTGCTGGAGCTGCGAAAACTATCTGCTATACTTGTGGCATAGTTGTTTGGCATCTGAGACAAGGTCATGTTCATTCCACTGGGATTCACTGGCACCATGAACTCGATCGGGATTGACATTGATAGGGGGTAGCGATAACCTGCAGGGGATAGCTTTGTTGGCATAAACTGCAGCATCACTAAATTTGCGCCTGTATAACGTACCACAACACCCTTCAATTTGCCATTGCATACCTCATCCATGGCCTCACACCAGTAGCTGTCTGTGAGGTGATTTCGGAGAGATTCACTCGAAGCTAGAATTCTGTACAAATCGCCAGGGGCCACAAAAGAAGAATTGAACTTGGGATTTTTTTCATTGCGAAAGGACATTAATACTATCCACTATTTTGAAAAAGGCATAAAATATAATAACGGTTCGCAGTATTCCACTATTAGAAACGTGCAAAAGCTTAGAGATGATGTAACAACAAGAAAAGGTGCCGAGAGCAAAGATAAATACTCGAAGATACTTCAAGATAGAGATGGGGAAAAGGAATTAGGATGACATAGCTAAAGAGGAAGAGGAATCACAGTTACATCATGGACTAATTAGCACATCGTTACTCTTGGTATAGCTTATAGTAGCAGGGCTCATCAGGTGAATCTATCGACGAAAGGAAAAATTAACGAACCTTTGCCAATAAATGAATCTACATGCAGCCAAACACCAAACAGTTAGTTTCAAAAGTACATTTTTGTATTATTATAATATCCTATGAGGGAAAAAAAAACTCATCGCAACGACAGAATAACCTATCTTCTCTACATCTCAAGTACTATAAACAGCAAAACCAAAGAGGAAAATTAATGGGAGTCTACCCACTTTCCCCATACAGTTCTTTGCTGAATTATCGATTCCTATTTTACAATTCATGCATGTACCTAGATATTGTCCAAAAACTCAAGAAGCGGTCCCGAGAAGGGAAAAGGTGAAATAAGACTTCGAGTAAAAGCCGGAAACGAGGATGCCTGTCCAGACAAGGTCAGTGACAGCACATTGCCTCCCGAAGATGCTACGACGTAGATCATATTCTTCACTGTTTCCTCGACAGCCATTTGCAATAGAGAAGCCTCTTCCATAAGGTACTCAGTCTCCACACATTTATTTCTCGGCAACGATACCTTATCATTCTCGTTAAGAACCTCGTCTTGAACAGCAAGTGAGGCTGTATAAACGGCATAGAGGGTACTCAGAATGGACTGCCATAGTGCCCACAATATCTCAGGCATCCCCTCCAGAATCGGCATATGGTGTAAAAATACTTTGGAAAGAATGTTAATAATGCAACTTTTGTCTTCCACAGAGGCAGGTCGTACTTTGACTGATAATGGCGGTAACACTAGCTGCTGTAGCGAGGCGACCCAGACCCCCGAAGCGCCCGAGGAATACTGAATTGCTGGAGCATGCGAAGGGTCCGCTGCGCATAGTTCCGGTGAAACGGCGGTGGAGGCAGCTAAAGTGGATGAAGAAGCGCATACCGTTTCCGTGAGAGGGAATAAAACCATTTCGTAGGCAGATCCAATGGTAGCAGCATCCAGAGTTCCTGGTTCCATATCCAGAACCGCGTGCTGAAGTGCGAGCATGGCGCTCCTCCTACTTCGTGAGCCCATCGGAGAGGATAATATGAGACTTGACAGACTTTGAAGAGACAGGATCCATAACTGTTGCCAGTTAACGCTAGATTGGGGTGAAGTTTTACTATCCTCAGAAGTCTTCCGAAGTCCTTCTTCGGCTCTGTGGTGCGTATTCACAAAAGAAGAGGTCAGAACTTTCCGCAGGCGAACAACATTGCCACAGCAAAGGCCCAGGATCTCCGCAAACATGTTCTCCTCCGACGAAGCCGGGGATGAAGAAGACCGCTGAAACTCTCCCAAATCCCTCTCAACCCTGTGGGCAGAAGTAGAGTCGGCGGAGAACAACCCCTGCGATTGCCGTCGATGTCTCTGCTCTCTATCCAAAATTTCGAGACTTAGCGCCAGCTTAAGGAACACCTCTGTCTCAGATGCCACGTCGTACATCACAATTTTTGCAAAGCGTAGTAAAATAGTGCCAATCTCGGTGAGCACACTTGGGTCGAACGCGGGAACGTCCAGTCGTGCAACGATGTCAACCAAGAATCCAACCACCATAGAAACGTACGATTTGAGGGTAAGGGAAGGATTCGAATTATTTTGAATATAACTGTTTCTCAGGCAGGGTTCGGCTTTGTCAAGAACCATGTCTATGATCCATAACGACAAAAATTTGACGAGTGGAAGTGCCACAAAGTCATTGAAGGCTGGCTTCGGCACTGACAAGAACACTCTAGAAATCCTCGGTACAATAGTGGCAGAGATTGCAATACTATTTCTGCGAAAATAAATCGACTGCAAAATCTTTAAAACCGTGCTGACGGTTTCCCTCATGACCTTTTCATCGATCGACGGGGCAGTCACACTCGTCTTCTTGCCACTCGAGAGTTGGTGAGTCGAGGCGTCTCTGTCATCCAGGTCCGGATCCATTCGCCCACGACCGTCGCCCGCCGCAAAGTAAACGTTGAGCACGCTCTGTAGGTACCCCAGATACGAATCGAACAGCTCCGCCATTTCAGGGTAGGACGTTGTTGCCGCCACGCACGCCGTAACGAAACTGAGCCTATAGCAGCAGACCGACAGTGAGTTCGACTTCATCCCTCGAAAATGCCCAGGCGAAGCGGAACCGCAGTCGACACCCATGAGAACCCGCAGCAACCGCTCACGGGCAGCGATCGGGAGATTGCAGATGACGCGAAGGATATCCTCCATATTCGGGACGCACTCCCGCACGCGAGCCTCGAGCTGCAGGCCGAGCGCGGGGCTCGAGCTGGGGCCCTCCCCCTGCGGGTCCTCATTTTCGCTTGAGTTGAAGGCGCTCCCCCACAAGGCGGCAAGCCACCCCACGCTCTTCTTTGTCTGCGTCTGGCTCCGCGAGGGGTCGAGGCCGTGCAAGACCGCGAAATCTGGAGGTCGGAAGACGGTCTCCGCTAAGCAACGGTAACACTCGCCGGGGTCGGTCTCCACCGCAAGCATGCCTAGAAAGTATAAATTCAGCAGCAAATTGCCCACCACCGAGCAGCTGTTCTGCAGACTTGGGGTGGTCCAGAAGAGGAGCGAGAAAATCTCCTTAATAAGGATAAGTGTTGGTAGGTTTCGATACAAATCATCCACCGCGTCCATGCCTTCAGAAAAATTCACGCGCACATAGGACGATAGAGTCATAATACATTCGTCGGAAATCTCATGCATCCCTAGTGCGGTCGCCGAGCAAGACAACATACGAATACCCCGGATACTCGATAATAAAGCTGATGTTGCCTTCGGCAGGATCGAATGCGCATCATCCAAGGCATCTTTGAGTGTAGAACCACGAGGATTCAGTCGCATGACCTGTGCACATGATTTCGCCAGAAGGTGTTTGAAGATCAAAAAGCAGCGACTTTGTATTACATTGAAAGCATATGGGTCCAGCTCAGAGAGTATCTTTTCATCCCGCAAGGAGCAAGTCGGGGTTGGAGCCGATGAAGCGTGTATGGAGTGTGGTTGCACCCCTCCTCCCTCAGACTGTTTAATTGCGTTGCTGATGTAATAAATCGCAAAGTTATCCTCACATTCAGAGCTAAAGCGGCTAATCTCGAGATCCCACGTCACTTTGTTTGCAAAGTCTCGGTTTACTGTTTCTGCCATGACCAACTCGTGACGCTTCACGTCGTTGTAAATGGTGAATAGGTATTCATCGGGAAGGCTGTTGCCATTGTCGATGGAACGATTTATGTTCTTGAAGTCGCTTTGAGTCATACTTTTTTGAATCTTTCCAGAATGTAGATCCGTATTGAGCATGATGATAGCAAAGGAAAGGACAAACGCGCCAGATTCGCTGCTGAAGGGGTTGATGTGCTTTTCAGAATTTACATTGTGTAAGTACCAGTGCTTGGCAAAGACCTCGATGACGCGATCAATCTTCTGAGACTCGCCTGGAAGGCAGAGATGGTAGACCAGTTCACGTATAGATGTTAACAGTGATTTATTATCAAAATTAAACTCCCCCACAAATCCCTCAAGCTGCCGACGAAAAAAGCACACAGTACCTGGTTGAAGGTGATCTTCAGAGCGACTCTTCTCCCACTCCTCTACCGCGGTAGTGAACGTTCCATCGGGAAGGATCACAACCTGATCCTCAGGTGGTTTTGGTACTCTTTCAGTACCAAGTTCGCCAATATAGTTGCCCAGAACATTCTTGTTTAACAAATGACTGAGGCGATATAAGCATTGGCCAATTTCATATCCCCCAGCTGGCTCTGCAAGCACAAGCGAAAAGCGATGGCTTTCGGCATCGCGTTTCCCCTCATCCGCCTTCAGGCGTATAGAATTTTCCAATAAAAATGGTATACCTTTTTTTAGAGGGGACTCCTCAAAAAGAGCAGCAAATTTAAGTAATAGACTCTTCTGTGTGATCATGTTTTCGACTGTCGCCTTCCACGAGGTGACGATGTTACACCTGTCTGAGGTATCCTGAGGAATTGAGTAGGGGCTTTCCGATGATCGCGAGGCAAAGTTTGACACCATACTCGTGGCAGCGTCAAGCGCAACAAGCTCAATTCGGCTAATGGGAAGTATATCAACTCCCTTGTCGTCTGAATCATCATCTTTTACTCTCACCTTCCCATTATTGGGTCTGGGATGGACCTGCATGCTATTGTCATTTAACAGGACTGACTGAGACATATTGCTATTAATGCCCATCGCGGATGGACAGGCACTTTCAACGAGCACGTCGCACAGCTGTGGGAGCAGAGAGTGGCATCGCCACGAGAGGTCGTAGTGAAGAAAACAGAAGCTACAAAAAGACGGATTGCTACAGAACTCAGCAAGACTCTCTAGTAGAATCTCACGACACTCGAGCGGGTTATTGGGTCGCGAATACGGAATGTCATCTAATAAAGTGTCACTAACAAAAGATCGATGAACCCTGGCATTCAGTGGTAGCAGCGTGGTCGCACTTCGAGTAGAATTAGTGGGGTTCGCACGAATACTATTGGATTGAGAGCTATTAACTCGGTCCATCCTCGCTGTAGGGGCGATAATCGGGTTAAGATGGATAAAACGAAGAAAATTAAAAATTTGCGGCGTCAATACATGCGCGGCGCTTTCAACTACAATGTGGATGATGCGCAGCACCAGAGCGAAGACAACCACATGAGTGGTGCTCATGGCCGCGACCAGTAGTGCCCGACAGAGATTATTCTGCACGACAGATAAAAGTTCGGCAGAGCATGAGTCGGAGAGGTGTTCTTGAATAGTTAAGAGAGCCGCTTGCGCCAAAGAAAGACCCTCTAGCTGGATTGTAGGATTGTTCTGATCGGACACCACAGTAAACCCAGAGCTCCTCGCCTTTTCCAGACTGTCGTCATTCGATACCATGTTGCCTTCCGCATCCAGCAGAGTCACCTCAGTGCTTATAAGAGAACTGATGTAACGCATCATAGAGGCACCGTCTAGGGGCGGTACCGCGAGTGGGGTGAATGTGAAGCTTCCATCGTGAGTTGAGAATATCTTCATCCTCGAGGAGGTCGCCTCACCTCCCGTCGTGAGCCCTTGAGTGAAGCTCTGATGACGGTAGGATGCGGACTCCAAGGCTATACGGGCATAAGCCTTCTGCCGGTCGACCACACGGCTGTAAAGGCAGGTCACCAGGAAAGACATGAAGCCCTCCGCGACGCGCTTCAAAAGGGGCGTGGCTTCCGACCGGAACGATATCACCAAGGTACGGCGGACAATCCGGATGTACAGGTCCTCAGGCAGCTCCACGGCGGCCGGATGGCGCATGCAGGTGACGCACACTTGCACCGTGCGTGCGAGGAGAACCTCGTGGGCGGCGGGATCGGACGCTTTACTCCGCACGCTCAGGGCTGCCTCAATTGCCAGCTTCACTCCTTTTTCAGTAATGATGGAGCGAGAAAAATCAAGTATGGTATCAATAGCGGAAAGGGCCACAATGATGATGGGCTCGCCAATATCAGGGCAACGGCAGACCTCACAGAATGGAGATAGTATTTCAGACTCCGTCAATTCATGAATTCGAGAAAAGGATGAACGGCGCGCCGATTTTGTTGCTGTAGAAAAAAAATCCCTGACATCGGCCTGAGGTAAGTGAAGATTGCCACTTTCCCCAACCTCATGGCGCTTCGAATCGCCACGGTTTAGACTGTGCGTGCCGAGGGGATGGTATGAGGGTGCCCAGTCCAAATGGCTCATCTGAGTGCATGATAAGAGCCGCTTGCGCAACTCCATAGCACTATATAGAAGTGGGTGCTCATGGACTTTGTCACCACTGGCATAGCGGCCCTTTGATCCAAATTTGAGACCCGAACGGAGTGCGAGTATGATGTGATGGAGTTGCACAAGCACGACTTGTCGTTCCTGATCCCATGTAGGCGCATGTTGCATCTCAATTAACCAAGGCTACAGCCCTAGTTAGAATATTTTGGCAAATATGAAAGGAAAGGATAAAGATATTTCTAGAAACCAATTCTCTTATTATCTCGGTTTAACTGCTATCTATCTATATATAAATAGATAGATATAGATATATATAGATATGTGTGTGTGTGCGTATGTGTGCTCCAAAGTTAGAACCAGGTCGAGGGTTTCTTCGTTCCTCTTCACGCTGTCTTTTCTTTTAAAGTGGAATACCTAACTATTGTAAAACCAAATATGATAACGGGAAACGGCGAAGTGTTGGTAAATTTCGCGCGTGCTGATATACTAAATCACAAATCTGAACAAGAGCGAAAAGCGGATATGCCTTCTATAGTAAACTTAACTACCACTAATATGCTTTCTAATTTGATTTTCTCAGAATTCCACCTAACCCATTGCAGGTAACAAATTAATACCATGGTTCATACCCCAAGCAATTCAGGGCACTCAATGTGCCAGGTGGTGTTCTCTACACGTCAGTGGGCTTGTGCACCTCATGCGCATAGAACATATTTCACCTATGTGTCACCATGGGTGACTAATAAAGTTAATCAAAGACGTCCAATCCTCCGACTTGAGGATTTGCATTGTCAAGTAACAGAGGAGGAATCCCTCTTAGGAAGACTATTCTCTTGAAAAGAAAGAGATATCACGGCAATCATTGCTCAGTAAGTCATTTAACACCGGCATGAATGGGAAATTGAAATTACACACATGAAGTCTTATACCATTCTTTTTCTACAGCATCCGATTCCTATCTGTATAGGACCTTTAGAATTTATTTTCGTTGAAGTACTAATAAAAACAAAAAGGGCATATGTATCATCACTGTTCCCTTTTGGACTGGAAAAAAACAGCTGAGTGTAAAAACACCCCGCAGCTTGGAAATTGAAGCTACGCGGAGAAAAAAAGCGCCTTCCCACGCCGAATCCCAATGAGTTGGGACGATTAAAGTCTGGCATGCAGTACACCTTAATCATTTTTTTATGATGCGCGTTGTTGTGATCTAAAGAGGCTTATATTCACACTTATTTACATCTGGCATGCACCCCATAATCATCAAAACAACTTGGAATGAAAGGTAGATATCAATTTGATGAAACACTTTATAAAATAGAATAAAATCGAAAAGTAGTAGCATGTCAAAAAATATTGCATTTAGTACAAATATTAAGTTAGATTTCATCACTTGAAAAATGAATTAAAATTTCAACTTTAATTAATGCATAGGCATAGGCACTTCAAAGATATCTGCACATTAGAAAGCAAAACTGTCTCAGAGGAGAAAAAAAGAAAGATTGAAATATTGTTCGATTATTCCATAAAACCTCTGAGTTTAAAATTTAAAAGGTTCAAAAAAATATTTTCACATACAGCATTAAGTTGCGTATAACATAGATCGATCTTATTACTAATTGATCTATAATCTTTTGCCTATTAATGACTAAGTTTATTTTACTTCTCATCAATACATTCAAATACCTTCAGCACTTACAGCGACCTCAAACGGTATTCCCCCATCCTTCTTTTTTGCGTTTCACGCAACGCCCTATCGTGCATTACACGAAAAAAAAAAGAAACAGCCCCTACTCGCGTATTGAAAAGTGAAAGTAAAACAATATTAGACAAAACAATAATTGCCAAAATGGGCTCAGAATAAGACGAACACCTTCTGTCTATTTCCAAAGAGTTTACAAACGTAACCCAAAGATATCAAGGGAAGGACAATACCGAAATATATAGTCCTGTATATTTGTAACCGTAACAGATATAATAATAACATATATGTATGCTTTTAAGAAATTCTTCATAAATGTCGCCATATATATGATATAAATCTATGTATATGCATGCCTATACAGAAAATGAAGCTCGACTCTAAGGAATTCTATTGAACGCTTCTGTAAATAGATGGCTAATACTAGCCTTATATAAGCACTTAAATATACGCACAATGATTATATAAGCTAGCCTGTTTGATCCACTTTGCTGCTTGAAATTTATACCCCGAGACACGTCATTGTGCATATAAACTTCAATTGCCTATGGATGCATACATCTTGTGGGACCCTAAAAAGCATACTTTACCCACCGCAATGCCGTTAGGCATCCACTGCAACACACACGGGGAGCCAATTGTAAGCACCTCCGGCCGGTACATGAACTCGCATTCGACTTCATATTCTGTTTCGTTCGATCCCATGGTGGTTGCTGACCTCCCATTGGACAACGTGGAACGGTATGAGCGAATTCTGACTGCTTGTCGCGCGTTTCTGGAGTAGAAAATAGGCTGAAGGTTTGGTGTAAAGCTCTGCGATAGCAGCTGAACACTCAGAAGGAAGGTGTCGCACACATTCTCCGGTTTGCCGACCAGGACCTTACCCTTATGCGAGATTTCGACTTGCTCTGGCAGGTGATCTACGGCAAACGTCGCTTCATCTCCGGGATGGGCCTCGTTCACATGGGTCCGTTCGATGTGAATGTCCCAGACGAAGACCGGGTGAAATGCCCCGGACGCGTCCGGCCCAATACAGCAGCTGCACCCCACCACCACCCTGCCCCGCGAGACGCGCCCCTGGAGAACAGGCCCGACGTCCTTGACCTGGAAGGCGCGATCCAGGAGCACCTCAAAGAGGGGCTGCGACACAGGTGACGTCGCCGGAGACTGGGAAGGGCGGTGCCGGACGCTTCGAAGGTGGGAGACACAGTACTGGAAGAGCTTTAGCCCTTTCCCGGTCACACTCGAAACGGTGAACAGCGGGACCCTTATGGGTTTCAACGGGGGTGAGGGGTCTAGATCAGTGGGATCGTCGCCAGCCGTGGCATCGTGTGACTGCATGGGCAGCCAATTAATACAATACTCAAGCGCCTCCTCCTTGCTATCGATCAGATTACACATGTACCCCAAGCCCTCGAGCGTCGCGGTCAGATCCATGCAATACGTGTAAAGCTCAAACTCGTCAACGGCGTCGCACTTTGTGACGACGAGTAGGAAAGGAGTACCCATCGCGGCACACGTTTGGGCATACAATCCCAAGTAGTGAGCAGGCTCGTTGGACGCGACGCACAGACACACATAGTCTGGTTTTCGGCTCATAATAGCAAAGAGCATTGACTTTGCTATGTCGCCACCGACGTCCATCATAAGAATAAAGCGCTGCTGCTGTTTTTCAGATTGATTCGCTCTCTGATATGAGTCCCCTCGTTCGGGACTGCTACCCCTGGTGACACCGGCAGCAAGAGGCATCGCCAACGATTCCCTGCTGGATCTTCTCGGCAACTGAAGTGGGTCGCAGAAACCATCATTTCCAATTGACAAGAGCCCTTGACCTAGGGTCTCCTCATCTATATCATCCCCCTCTCGCAAGTGCCAAATTCGCGTTGATATCGATGTGGTACGCCCGGTGTCGATTTCATGTTTGTGGTTAAACAAAAGCTGACGAGTGCTGCCATCACCGTCGTCCAAAGTAGCACTGAGTAACACCCCCATCAAGGTTGACTTTCCACAGTTTACGGCACCGCAGAAAACGACACTCAAGTCCTGCCCCGCGGCGTATCTTCGTGAAACAAGCAACTCACCGCAGAAAAGGTATTCAGGGTGAGTACGAACCACACAGCGCTTGAGCAGAAGGCAGTCAAACGACAGCGCCGCGGCCATGCGCTCAATTGTCTTTACAGATTCTTCAAACTCTGCCTCTGGTAAGCCTCTTAGCACACCGTCATCGTTCACACCCAGTTCATAGAGGCACTGGCCGTTGCCCTCAAAGACACGAAATTGCATCTGTGTGACGAGATGTTCGAAACGTTCCGTGGTGACGCCCGTAAGACGCCATTTGTACTCCACATCGCCCTCGTCGTCCTCTTGTAAGAGTCGTGTCGAGTGGGAAAGCGTGTCCGCTCTCGAAGGGGGTCCGTCGTCCGTGCCACGCACATAGTCTAAGCAAAGACTATTACTTTGCTGATCTAACGCAAGTCGATGTCTCACATTAAAATGTGAAGTACGAAACCCTAAAATAGAGGATTCTTTTTCCTTTGCTGGCACATTTAGTAGGTGCGAATGAGAAAAAGTTGTAATGGGTTCCTTATGTTGTGGGTTGAGTAAATATTTTGTTGTATTTTCTGCTAATGTATTCTTTTTTCTATACCTTTTGTTAGATATGGACGCCTTTCTCCGTCCCCGTTTGACCTCATCAGTCTTGTAAACCTTGAATAGCGAGGAGGGTGAGGATATACTCAACGGGAAGAGTTCATCATCCTTGGTCTCGCAAATATCAAGAGCTATGTCTCTCCTTTGTATTCGAAACCCTTCTTTGACGGTTGCCATTAATGCGTAAATTTTAATCAAGTAGTGAATATATATATAAATATATATTGGTGTGTGTTTGTATGTAGTGTGAGAAAAAACTGTGAGACTATTTGATTGTAGTTGATAACAATATATTTTCAAAACGGCCTATATGTGCATAAAGAAGAAAGGGACAGAGGCAATGTTTAATTGCGATCCTCACTCAAGTGGGCACATCATCTCTATATTAAAGGATTAAAGGAAGAAGAAAAAAAAGTAGTTTAAAAAATGTTAAAAAAGAGTATTCAGAGCTAAAAAGTCAACCCTTTGCTTCGAAGCTGTTCTCAAATATGCATTCACCACTCGCAGGATTTAGATGCGACTGGGGTACAAGTACACACGAATGCGGCGGCCAATGGCAGACGCGGGAACCGACGCGCCATTAAACTTCACGCGCATCATACCAGAGTTACCGTGGGGACGAGTTACACGTCCCCAGAGGGCGCGTGTGTTGCTGCGCCGTGCAGGGGCCTTGCTCCAACGCACACAATGCTTCACCTTGTAGCCGTGGTACACGTAGCACACACGCTTTCCAACATACCAATCAGCGTCGCTACGAGTGTTGACGTTGTCAACGCGCACGAGAGCCGTCTTCTTGACCTGCCCATGAAGACCACGGGTGTAACCGGCCAACGTTCCCTTCATGTAAAGGCGTGGGGACTTGCGGTTGCGGTTTACCGTGCTCGTCTTCTTGGCGAGCTGGTGAAGCTTCTTGCTGCGCTCAGAGTGAACCTTTGATGTTGTCATGATGAAACTAGAGTAATACCCAGAGTTCACTACTATATGTATGAATGAAAAGGGGCTTTGAAGCTGCAATATAGCAAAAGGAAGACAAGAAAAGGTAAAGAAAAAAAGAATTAGTTCTCCGTGTTTCAGTAACCCTGTGTTCCTACTATCTGCTATAATTATAAATGGATCCATGAAACAGAAAATTATATTCGTTGACGTAAATCTTATCAATTATTTCAGTTGAAACTCGAACCTGTGTGCACTCATGTCGGTCTTTTAACTATCTATATCTATATATAGATACAGATATATATGGATAAATAAACTAGAGCAACATATTGCTGTAAGTTTTTTAGTTCTATGCATTGAGGATCATCCTTTCGTTTTAATTTAAAAAATGCAAAAAGTGGAAAAATCACAATCAGCCTTACTCGTAGTTATACACATGCAATAAGGGAAAGAAAGAAAAACACTGAACCTTAAATAAATAATCATGTTTGGTGATAAACAGTTGGCAAATTTCCCTATCATATTCCAATAATACTTCCTTAATATCAAAAAAGGTAATCAACCGATCACATATGTTTGAGAAGAATATTTGAGTGAGATTTAAAAAATACTCAAGTGCCATATGGTCTTACCTTTACATCTCGATCCAGGGAGCCATCGCCAGGGGTACCGTATCGATGGTCCAGAGGTGCAAGAAGAGGTATGGACATCATGCTCGAGTTACCCACTTCCAGAGACTGGGTTCGTGAATCCAATGCAGAAAAGTTTCTGAACGCATTGGTACGATTCTGAAAAATAGATCCTATATTTAAAACTAACGCTATGATAAAATAAATCAGGGCAGCATGCATGCACGCACGCGCTTTCTCGGCACTATCCCAATTACTCCTAACCGATATAATAGATAGAGAAATCAATTTGATGTTGAAAAGGTATGCAATGAAAAAGGCGCACACTGCATTCCAATAGCAAAATATCATACAAATTTTTACTCCTAGACCCATCCCCAAACACTCAGTGAAACTTTCCAGTATTTTGATATTTTTGTTGTCGTTTTTTGTAAGCTACTCTTAAAAAATGTAAGGATAAATGATGTTGAGTTTGTTGTTATCCTCATATATGTATATCACGATAATCAAATAAGTGTGAATATTTTTTGAATGTTTTCTTTTAATTAAACAGAAGAAATAGATTGGAGGAAAGAAAGGCGGTCAACATCACTGCCAAAAGTTGTCCTTTCATAATATTTGATGATGAGCTTTGAGCGTTCTCTGGCTCTGACACCTTCAAATCGAAACAAGAAGTGCATATTAGTAAAGACGATTAAGCAATAAAAAGACTAAAAACTCACACAACTGTTAAATCATACAGTAGAATGGATTCCTTTCTGAGTATAAATACAATGCGCATCCCATTAGAGTACCCAGGCAGTGTATTAGGTAAACAAGTGCGTATTAGTATTGCCTAATAAAGAATCAAATGACATTAAAAATGGAGACCACAATACTGTCAAAAATCATATCCCGGCTAAGCCAATTCTCCTGATAAAAATCTCGCTGAAAAATTACGTAAATGGCGTTTGGAAATATAACGCATATATTCGATAACAGATCCAGGCCCTGATTACTTAGAAGGAATTCGCAAACGCTCACGTAACTTCAACCCGACCCTAGGGCTTGCTGACGTCCTTATGACCTTTTTCCGTGACTTTGGAGGTATACTTACAAGTTCGAAACCATTTGCTTCCCCGATGACCAAATCTGCGGAATGGAATAGATGATGCCGATAGTATCGAAGAAAATGTGCCATACGCGAATGTTGGATAAACATATATACAAAAATAATACACTGGTAAATAAGTGACGGAAATGTCCAGACACAATCGGTAAGCAACAGGAAGTACATCAAAAGGTAATAGAAACCTGCAAAAGCACAGGCGCGTGACCTGGCGGACGAATTCCAGTTCTGCCTCACTGAAACTAATGAAAAGGCGACATGCTGCCTAAACATCATCCATGCAAACAAAAAGGAAAGAAAGGCATTCACAAAGCAAAAATATGTTACACATAACCGAATGAAATGCGTCGAGGAGTAGAATGATGGTGGGTAAACTCGTCGATTTAGAAGTGAATGGGTTAAGTCTCGCTCCTGCACGCTTGGTGAGTTAACATATCGATTGTCCTGAGCATCCGTACCGATTTCAACATTAATGGACCCGTGTGCCTCTCTGAGGTGGTTAGGGCCCAACAAGCGCGATGCACTTGACACCTCAGACGCCCAATACTTTATCTCATGGCCTCCATGGCTTGTTACTACTGGAGACACATAGCTTGATGGGACGTCGCTTAGTGGTGATGAAACGTGTCTCCCAAATCTTCGTGGAAAGGTAGTTGCACTTTCATTGGTGCATGAGGAAAACACACTACAACTACCCGTGCGAATGCTAGGTAATGAATATTTAGAACAGAATAAGGGCGCGTGAGGCGAACCATGTTCTCGACACGATTCATTCCCGATTGTATAGAAATATTCTACAGCCACTTTATTATTGTAACCATTCCGCATAGAATTCATTCTAGGTTGTGGTGCTGGTCAATGATTAACAATATTTTATTCTACAAAGATACATGTATTTACAAACATTAAACGTCAAAAAAAAAAAGACGATTGTATATGTCTCTTTCAAAAAAAAATACTGACACAATACAATTTACTATAAAATGTTTGTCCAAAGTGATCACTTTAGTCATTGAATTAGTAAAAATACACGGAACAATATTAGAAATGTATTAAAATTGAATCAACAAAGTGGGTAAACATCCTCATGGATATATATTTTTTCATCGGAATCAATATCCAAAACGGAAAAATCAATAAAGAAATACATATGAGCAAATCAATCATTCTGCTAATTTGATGCAAAGCAAAGAAAAACAACGTTAACCAGATGTTACAGATCATTCAATAATGTACAACATACCAGAATAGTATGACAAGAGCATATATTGGTGATATTTCCGCTATAAGCTTTTCTTTATAATACAAAAGAGAAAAGCATTTATAGACCAGACGGGCTAGAACGCCTTTCTGCATTTTGACATAATTCAACAATGCACCACGTGGACCTGAGGAGCAATCAAAAGAAGGTAACAAATCAATTATACTAAAAGGAGAGGAGAAGTCCCCCAGGGGATTCATGCTTCTTTCAAAAAACAGCTACACCATTTGTGTGCCCGTACGCAAAAGATTTATTGAGTGTCAATTAGGAAATACGAGACATAACGTAGGTCTGCCAAGGCGACGGATCAATCTCAATTGGTTTCAACGACCTCCGGCTCCGCACCTTTGAAACATCGCCAAGAAGGGGACACATACAACAACAGCGCTCTAGTAAGCCCTTCTGCCGTAAAGGCGCGTCTGAGATCAAAAAAATTGATCGTCCAGCTTTCTCACCTTCTGCCGTGGTAAAAGCGTCCAGGTTTGTCATTGCATGTGAGGTACTCGAAGGAAGGTTTCTCATCTCTATAGGACTATTACCATGTCGAACGTATTGAATAAAATCATGCGCTGAAGAACTGGCCGCCGCCGCCGTTTCAGAAAGATAGGCCGAAGAACCCATGTCACTCATGCTTCGATACAAATTATTGTAGCGATATGCGTAAAAGTGGCTCCACTTCACAAACTCTTCGCGTGCAGCAGTTGTCAAGGTTCTTTGACTATCGCACCATAAAGCCGTTGGCAGCGCGATGTTCGCCTTGCCAGTGTCCTTTTGGACCTCTATTATAATAGGATCGCTATGCGAAGATACATTTAGAGGCTTTACGTGTTTGCTCTCCGGCGCCGAGTCACCCGAAGAGCTGCATTCTCCACTGGCAGATGCAACTGTGATTTCAAAGGTATGGTCATCTGACCATCCACATGGCAGACATAACTGAAGCTCATCTCCAGCTGAAAGCAATACCGGACCCTTACTGTAAACGGTTTGATTAACTCGCAGCTCAAACTGAGAAGAATCCCATGGAAGAGCTATCAACTGGGGTATTGTACACGATGGGAAAATATGAACAAGTTTTAACTTCAAAATGCGTTTTGAATCACGCACGAGAAAGCCCCCCTCTCCGTCTTTATGAAGATGGAGTGAACAGCCCACTATGTTCCCTAGAGACCCAACACGCATGCGTATTGTGTAGCCATTGAAGGAAGTTGATAGCTTACCACTTTCTAGATAAACCATTTGAATCTCTTTTCCAACAACATGCTAAGTCTATTAATAAATAGAATAAAAGAGACAAGATAATGATGAATACATATATATAAGTTATTTGCATTGTCTACTTTTTTATTTTATCTCACTTACATTTTATTAATCGATTGAATGTAAGTATTCACACTCATTTGCGATCACATATCGTTTTCCCCTAGAAGAGCCCTCATTTCAAACAGCCACGCATTTGGGGGCAAAGAAGTTGACAATATTGGGTACATTGGAAAAAGTATAAAAATAAATATGAAAAATAAAATCAATGATACGTACATAGATTAATTACTGTACAAAGGCGTGCCCAAATCATTGCGGCAACGCAAGAGGAAGTAGCTTATTTCATGGAAAATTTGTCAACGAGCTAATGAGACATCGAGAAGAATTTCTCATTTGAATGCGCCGCTTGGAGGTTCTGACGCTGCTTGGAATCACTCCTAGTTACTGGGAGACTCTTTCCCGCGGCATCTAAAGATTGAAGTGTGGAAAAGGCGTCTTTTTCCGAGAAACTATACTCATGTGAAGTGGGGTGTTGCTTCGACAGGGTCAATGCCGGGCTGGTGTGTTCCGTCCCGAGCGGTAGGCTCTCTCTTAGGCGTGGAGGAAGGGGCAGACTGGGTATGGTTCTTTCTCTCCCCTTTGAGGCCTCGGCCGCATCTCGGGAGGGTGTCAGGGCAACCGGGCCGCCAGAACCACCGGAGAGAGGGGGGGCCGAGGTTAAGGTGGGAAAAATAGGCTTGAAAGGGGCGTGCACGCCGAATGGCCTTGGGATTGGCAGCCCGTTGTCGTTAGGGATATAGGCATTCGGACGAAGTTCGGCAGTCGTGAGGACGACGTTTGGGTTGTTCTGATCGCCCAAAGCCGCCTCCTTAGCCGCCTGCTGGCGTTGCTGAAAGGCAGCATAGTACTGTCGCTCTATTTGCTTGCGTTTAAACTCCTGCTCAGCTTCCTCGAAAGGGGCCTCGCCCGCCTCCAGGCGACACTTAGCCTCCTCGACAATCTGCTCCAACCGAGCTACCTCCTGCTGAAGCTGAATGCTTGAAGCCTGGAAAAGGGAAAGCTCTGAAACGGTAGCCATCATCTGCCGGCTACGATTGCGAATCCCGTATTGGTACTGATTTACCTGCTTCGCCAGCGCAATTGTAACCTTCTTGCCTCCCTGTGCCTGAGCTCCAATGCGCTCGGATAAATCGCGAACCTCAGCCAGAATAAGCTCCTTCTCGCGCAACTTTTCGTTGATTGCGTTCAAATCATTCTCAAGAGCCTGTGCGCGGACCTGGAGGTTCATGTACTCCTCAGAAATACCCCCACACTCAATAGTAGTGGCTGCTTCCTTATTAGTGCTCACCCCCGCTGAGGTAGAAATACGGCCACTAACGTCTTCAGACGCACGCTGCTTGCCGCTCGTGTCAGCCACAGCCGAAGTAGTCAAGTGCTTCTGACCATGTTTTGATGAACCATTAGTAACCACTCTCTCTATCTTACGCCAACGGTAGGGATTATTAGGATCAGTTAAATCATTTTCGAGAATCTCCGCCCTCCAGTGCTCATCTTCGATGTCCTCAGTCAGTTTGGCGAGTTCGTCCTCCAATTGTTTCGCCTTTGGAACCGATCGCTGACAGAGCTCGATCTCACGGTTTAAGTCCGAAAGTTGCAACTTCAGGCGCCGCTCCTCCTCAGAGCGGGCGTTAATCATGGACATGCCCTGCTGGAGCGCTGCTTCTTGCGCCGCCACGGTCTCCGTCAGAAGCGCCACCTCGGTGTTTAAGTCGATGAGATGAACACCAGTTTGGTTTCGCGCCTCAATAGCGGTGGTATAATCGTCTCTCAGCTGTATCATCGTCTTTTCTACGGAAACTACCTCCATGTTCAAGGCTTTCACCTGCCTACACACATCCATCGCTACGTCTGCGGCAAGCTCCATCTGCTTTCGTTGGTTATTTTTTTCGAGGCCCAAATTCATACATGCTTGGTGCAGGTCCGAACATTGCTGCTGCTTCTGAATCAGTGACTTCTCCTTTAGGTAGTCCTCACGCTTAAGCACGACTAGCTCCTTTTCAATGATCTTCATTTTCTCTGCCACTTCTGATATATTCTGCTTGAAGCGCTCAATGAGCATCATTTTGTGGCTACGTTCATGCCGCAGCTTTTGGAATACCCCGGTAAGGGCGCTCAAGCGTTTCTCCAGCGTGCTGCGACGCTGTTGCAGGTCTCTGACGTATGATTCCTTAGTTTGCAACTCACTTTTCACAAGTATCATCCGGTTATACTCACGAGTGCAATCTTGGCTCTTCTCCTGGCGCTGAATAATGGTGGACGTAATCTCCCTACGTTTTAGCTCCTCCTGGCGGAGGCGTTCAGCGATACTTTCCTTGATGTCCGACAAGTTTTCAATCATATCCTGAGCCTCCTTTGTAAAATCCTCCTCTTTCGCCTGTTCTATTAGAAAACGCTTGGTGCGCAACTCCAGGGTATTCGTCAAGTCTTGTATTTTTTGGGATAAATCCTTCAAGACAGCCTCGAGAGCCCTCATTTCGGTTGATATTTGCGCCCTCTGCTCTTTAAGTGATCGTTGTGCATAAAGAAGGTTGTCTTGTTCACACTGAATGGCTTTATATTCATTCATACAGCGCTCCTTTTCTCTTCGAAGCTGCTCTATACCATTATGCTCCTCTTTTTCAGATGCCTTGGTTGACTTGATGAGATCACCCAACTCAACCAGTCTTTCCTGATAGCCCTGACGCAGCTCCTGTTCCATTCCTAAGGATGCGTTAAGCGTCGACAAGGTACTCTGCTTTGGATCCATTTCGCTTCGGATCTTCTGTATGCTTGCTATAGCTGCAACACGATCGTTATCCTTGTTGCTGAGCTGCAGTTCTAACTTGTTGAGTGTGTCCAGCTGGGCGGCAATCTTTTCGTCTACCAGTTCTAACTCCTTTCGAGCGCCCTGAAGTGAGCGGCAAACAAGATCAAGCTGTTTTTGTGCTCGCTCAGGCTCGTGCTCCATATTGGCGAGATGCTGTTTGGCTTGAGCAAGGGAAGCACTAAAGTTGCCGGACCCAGCCTTGCTGGCAGCCTCCTGCTCTTCAAGCTGGATCTTTTCAAGCTTAAGGGAATCATACTGGGACACTAACTCTTTAATTTGAATCCCCATTTCTTTAATTTCAGTTTGGATCCTCTCCAGTTTGGGACGTAGACGAGCCACCTCTGCAGCTTGGGCGTCCTCGCGTTCTAGGATAAGACTCTGCTTACGGCGATCAAACTCAAGCGCCTCTACCTGCAGCACACTCTCCCGTTCCTGAGCCTCTGCGAGCTCCTTTTCGATTCCCATAAGGGTCTGCCTCAGGTGGTGGATTTCTTCATCATCTTTCCGGGCAATGTCACCGTGGGACCGAACTCGTTCCCGCTCGCGATCTAGCTCACCACGGAGCTGGCGGGCTCGTTTTAAGAGAATGTTGTCGCGTCTGTAGATGGACAGCACGTGACTGTGCAGCTCCTTAAACTTTTCCTTTAGATAATCCGCACGCTCCTCTGTAATGAGACCCTCATCTACTAATGTGTTTAGTATTTTGAAAGCGTTCGAGTGTTCCACATCTGAAGCATGGTCTACCAACGATGAATCGAAAGACTGCATTTGTGTAGATCAGTGTCAGCAAAACCTAGAAAGGGAGCCCTTTCACACAAAAAAATTCTCCTAAAACTACTTCAATTGTAAAAAACGTAAATGGGTTGAATTAATAAACTCGTTGTAAAAAAAAAAAGCAAGCATCCGACTCATCATGCAAAGCACTAAAAGATACAATGGCAAGACAAAAAATAATAAAATAGAATACAATTTTGTTTCTATTATGGCAAACATTATATATACACCATTGCATGCGCTCAAAATATCTTATACAGATAGTCTGAACATCCAAAGGTCCTACTGCTGTGAAGTATTAAAAGTAAAGGCGTCTAGCGATGCAATGAACATCATAGACAAGGACATGACAACACACGTGAGGGGAAAAGGTTTTTAATTTACCCAGCAGGATTAACACGCTGCTTGCATAGTGATAGCGAGACGTAGCTTGGGAGCCTCTGACGCAGTTGGCACGTTCCCACTGGCCCGATACAATTCTCATTCAAGTCTAAAAAGAAGCCAGGGATGCGAGATGGATCGAAGCTCCACGCTGCAGTGCACTGTGGTGTGGCAGGTGACGTTGTATGTGAATAAAGGCCCTGCGGCGGCGGTCGAGCGCGCAAAAGGGGAGCTAGCGAACAGGCCCCAGTATCATCAATACCTACATGTTTAAGCTGGACTGCACGTATAGTTGAATTATGTGAAAGGCACTGCATCAAGTAGACAGCCCCATCGTTTCCTATGTTAACATTATAGCTAAAATTTATAAGCTCCAGAGCAGAGGTTTTTGCGTGTCCCAGGTGCTGCCCTTCATCGCATGCACATACATCTGTACTTGCAGATGAACTCAGAAGGCTAGTTGCAGATGGAAGTGATTGTGAAAGAGGGGATGACATTGCTGAGAGACCAAGTAATTCACACAACATGACGATATCAGCGTATGTCAGTTTATTTCGGGACAGATCTAAAGTCCGCAGGGTGTGGCGGTGAGCCGATAACATGGGGAAAAAAAGGTTCAGTCCTGTTGGTCCATCACAACCAATTTGCAGTCTCAGACGACGCAGAGGGTTCTGCATGTAAGACTCCTTGAAGTAGGCCGCGGCCCGCTCACACTGTTCTCGGCCAAACTTGCATTTAATTATCTCTAAAATGTCTGAGCGCGGAAGGGCATGCATAATGCGATAGATAGGATCGCGATGGCGGGCAGTAGATTTTTGAGGGGCAGTTGTCGAAGTACTAATTTCTTGATCAGCTGGCTGCATTTCTTTGAGACTAGAACCAGCCTCCGCCGAGGAGAGCGGTCGCTGAAGTGTGTCCCCACGCGAGCGCTTCTTGCCTGCCTTACAAGGCATGCGCGTGTCATCACTTTTCATATTAAGAGATAGAAGCCCCTTCAACTATGGCTAAGAATAATTAAAGTCAGAACAAGAAAAGTGAATAAATCCATTAACTGTGAAGCTCTTGTATTATCATATATATATATATATGACATACTATTTAAAAAATGTAAGATACCGCAACAAATATTTTCGCCCTTGATCTCACTTTTTGTCTCATATGGCACTGAGTTATACTATATAACGGATACACGTTAAGAAACATGAAATGCAGTGCAGGGTAAAGACACTTCGTATTTTTTGGGCCTCAGATTCCTCGGATCTTATTTGGTAATAATAGTATGATAAGGATGAGCAGACAACACCTTTCGCAGTGACATAAAGATTGACAGCTTTGGTTCACTAACTCGATGTTCCCCAACTGGTTTGTCGCCTCCTTTGACAGCATTTCCAGAAAAACAGGTTTCCACAGGAGTTGTTAAGCTTTCACCAGACACAATACCACCCTCAGAGGTTCTTTGTTGATAACCGTGACTTAGATGCGAAGTCTCATCACCGACACCATAGCTTGTACTACCGTGTAAGCCAATCCCGGTTCGCACCACCATCCCTTTGTCATTCACACAGTTTGAAGACATTCCATTATGCTGCTCGTGTCGCTGCACATAGTTTATATCCACAGACCACGCATTCACCAAACCGTCGGCGTGCGATGTGACGAAGCGGGTCCCGGTAGTATTCCACGACAGCTTCGATATACCCTCACACAAAGCCGTTTTGCTCTCCAAGACGTGGAGTTTGAGCGACCTCTCGCTGATTTTTGCGGTATTCCGACCACCGACACCTGAATCCGATAAGGGCGCATACATGTGCGCATGCGGGAAAAGAGCGTTAGCGCCACTTGTCAAGCCTGTACTCCTGAAGAAAAAATTGTGAAGACGCGGTCTCTGAAACAGTAAGATGGTGAAATAATTCGCATAGACTATGGCCAAAAGGAGAAAGTTGCGACCAGAGGAAGGGGACCAGACTACTTGCCGGCACATTCCATTGTTTCGATGTGTCGAACCAGAAGAAAATACCAGGTCGCCGACCCGGGTACCACCGTCGACGACCAAAAACACTCTTACCGAGCCGTCCTGGAAGCCAGACGCCAACAAAGAACCGCTATCATCAAAGTGAACGCAAAGACAGCGCATCGAAGGGTCGACATGGAGTGCCTTTGTTTCTACAGTTGAAGTATTAAGGTTTGAAGTGTTTGAAAAACGCGGATCCAAGTCCACAGAACTTGATCCTGGCTCTTGAATCGAGTCTAATGCACACCGTGGTAAAATTGTGATGTTATGGTCCTCAGGTCCTGGTAAAAATGTGCAACAGAGAACCCATGGACCCTCGCCATTGGATGAATCGCTGCGTCGCACAAACAGTAAGATCTCTCCACTATTACATGCACAAGCCAACGTGCACTGCGATGAAAAAGCAATGGAAACTCCATTAGAAGCCTTGATCTCCGCATCCAGTGCCCATCGACTATGTGAGAAGCGGTACACACGGATTTGCCACCCAGGGCACATCCCAGCTAGATACACACCATGCTGCCAAGGCCCCCACTCCAGCTGGGTACATGGAAATTGTAGTTGATCAACTAAAACCGTCATCTCCGCGGGATCCCACTTTAAAAGACCCTCGTTCAGGAAAGGTGGCGGTGGCACGCCCAAACCCGACAAGCCTCCACCCGCCCCAAAAGGGTCCTCGGATGCCTTGATCGCACCCATATTCTCAACCACCGGCATTTCCTGCGTCAGCGTCACAAAGATTTCACGTCTTGATGTCGAAATGGCCATGAGTTTGTAGTGATTGTTATGCTCCATCGCGATAATCCTAGTATCGTGAGAGGTAAAGTGGAAAATTGGTGACATGTAGGACGTCGTGGCTGCTCGCTGTGGGGGCTGAATTCTATTGTGTGTCTCTGTACTTGTTTCTACATTGCTAAGGGGTTTAAAATTGGCCCCGCGTGATCTGAGATCACTTTCCTTCGATGATATTAACAAAGTAGAAGGTGCCTTTCTTCTGGCGAGAGTAGAAAGACCACTGGGAACGAAGTCGAGAAGCGGGGACCTTGGATTAATTGGGGGGGAGAAATACTGCTTTAAAGATTTAGAGGTGTCTGAAGAATTTCCACCTTCCTGGTCGCGGGGACGTAGGTTATTAGGCTCCATAAGTATATCTTTGCTAAAGATATACTGTGCGCTCACTTTTTCTATGAACACAAACAATCACTTGGACTTAACGGGCTTACGTACGTATGAACCCGGGAGAACTACGCACAAATCCGATTTGCAAAGCACTAGAAGCTTCTTGAAGGCTCTGTATTTATCTCGAAATAAGAAACAGACACAAAAATTTACATTGATGTGCTCAAGAAAGAAAGCATCTTTTCTAGAAATTTGTACCGGGAAGGGGGAAGGGGGATAAAAATGAATTATCCCCTTGAAAGCATTACAATTTGTTTCAAACTTGGTAATTTACCACAAAGCGATGCGAATTTTTCAACGAATTATAAGTTGAAGTTACAGCACATAAAAAATTCTTATTTACGACATCAACGGAACATATGATTCCATAAACATCTACACCATTCTAAAAAAGAGGCACTAATCCAAGAGGATGCCCTGTAAAGGAACACGGAAAAATCGACACATGTGGATTTTTTTTTATATAGAGTTGTATGCTAATGTCTGATTCATGTAATTCAGCAAAAATATTTAACACTCGTGAATTATAAAAATGTAATGTATTAAAAGAGTGACATAAACATAGGTTTAAATCAGCTAGAAATTGTATTCGGAAGTAATACGTTTGCGTACCTTAATACATTCTTTTGAGGAAGAATATGGCATGTAAAAAAAAATTTATGGAGCAAAAAAATCGGAAAAATGATCTTCCTAGATCTCTCAGAAATGTTTTGGTATATTTGAAATTATTCACAAAAGAATTCAACGAATGTGCTTTTCACGATCTTTGATGAACTGCTGTTCCTATTTGCATTTTCATATTTCATTTTTAAGAAAGGTGATAAAAAAGAATAAATGTTAAAAGCAATGTGATTCCTAGAAAAAAATCTTACGAGGCTGATTTAAAGAGACATAACAAGATGCTCTCTATATTCCTCCATAAGAATGATAACCTTAAAAACAACCACAGAGGCATATATATATATATATATCATTAAAACAAATTGTATCCAGGACCAAATATTTCTTTTTCGAACTTTTTAACTGACCCCTGACATTTTTAACGTCCTAAATAACTTGTGATTCAACAAAAGAGTACGAATCAGTATATTTGAACTAGAAACACTAGAAGCACTCTGCCTCAGTGTAGACCTGTTACCTCAATGGGCATTGTTCGGCATAAATTAAGAAAATCAAAAAACATAGATATATTACCTTAAGTATTCTCTTACAGAACTGTTCGATACTTTTTCATTATCGCTGGAAATGTCACTTAATGATTTTCAGAATGAAACAACAGTTAAAGCTTTTGAACGGAGAATGAAGTCTGAGCATTGTGATACTCAGATAATCCTGTTTTTAATACTGCTATGCGTCAAGTAGTCGGGAATGGTACTAGAAGGGGTCAAACTGCATCGCACAAACACCACAATAACGTTATCAGTCGTTCCCTTGCTCAACGCCCGGCTAACAAGGGTGTCTGTAATGCACTTTGGAGATTTTCCTCTTTTTAAAAGCTCATAGCAACATTCCGTCGCTTCCTCATACGACATAACATCCCACAGTCCGTCAGATCCTATGAGTAAAAAGTCATCTTCTGGTTCCAAAGTTACCCGAAATGTGTCTGCGTCGGAAATCAAGCCGGAGGGCATTCCCCCTGTGTAGTCATCAAATTTGAAGCCAGCATCCCCCAACGCACGCGACACGGCGAGGCTACACAGACGCGGATTAAACTTTGGGTGGCCCAAACGTTTGTTGAACAGCCGCCCCCCGGCGGACGCAACTCTCTCCAACTCGGCGGCGTTGCGATTCGGATTGTGCACCTTGGTGAGGATCCTTAAGGACCCTCTCCGACAGAGCACCGCCTCGCAGTCACCCACGTTGCCGACCACAAGGTCGCCGTTTATAAACAGTGCGACAACGCATACGCTGCCAGATTCGATGTTCTCCTCTTTACAGCGCTGCAAAAACTGTTGATCTGCTTTGGTTATCCCTTCGCAGATAGCCTTTTCTGGGCTCGACATGATCTCAGGATGGCCTAAGATGAGCTTGTGGAGGTGGTCGCGCAGGTACTCGGCACATTGCGTTCCGCCGTGTCCGTCGTAGATGGCAAAGAAAGGTATCCCGTCGCCTAGCATGACGTATTGGTCCTCCATCGTGCGGCGCACCCCCTGCTCCGCCGTGGCGCTGAAGTCCAGTATGGGGTATGTAGGCTGGACATTCTGTAGAAATTTAATAACTGGGTTTTTCTTTTCCGAGCGTTTATCGCAAATCAGAGGTGAATTGCACTTTTTAGCCGTGCCAACAAAGGTTTCGGTATCCCTCATGAGCTTTTTATGCTTCATCGAATCAGGGATGATTCCAATTTAAACGGTGTTATCTATACTCTGTTATGTGCTCAAGTATCAGTGAGAAGCATAAGATCAAACCAAAACACGTGACTTTTTCTCTTCTATTGAGGGACGTATGGGTGGAAACTTGAGTTAGACAGCTTTATTGATAGATAAAGGTTAATAAATATATTAATTTATCTATCTATCTATATATATATATATATATATATATATAGTGTGTGTGTTTTGATAATTAATTATTTTGTTAATGTTAGATATGATGATAGCAGGAAATAAAACTTTTGTAGAACTGGCTCGTTAAAAGCAAAAGTTATTAAAAAACACTTTCGTGTAATACTAAATTAGAGGGAAAAGACAAGAACATTCAATACATATGAATTGGGGTGATGCAAAAAATTAAAAGTATATTAACATCTTCATTGGTTAATATCAAGTTTCCTGAGATACTCACTGAGTAAAAAAAGCACACACATCGAATAATAATACATTCCTGGAACCAATCAGTAGTCTGACATCTCTCTCTAAAAAAAAAAAGCGAAGCAATCAACAGAACAAGCAGAAAAAAAAATGGGATAGAGAGAAAAAAAAGAATAAAATCAGCGCAATTAAAATGTCTTGAAAGAAGTTTTTTATCTGAAATTCTCTGCAGCTGTCACTTTTGCTTTGAAGTGAAAGATTTTGTTGGACCAATATTACTCATTGACTTGGCTTGCCACCTTCAGCGGCTTATAAAGATTTTGTATATGCGCTCTTCACCAACTAATCGATGCATAAATACTCCCTCTCTTCACATTTGAGTAACTTGCACCAATTAAGAATGGAAAAAGAAAAGTCCCAAGATACAAAAAAAAATACAACCAAGTCTATGAATATAAAGTTAAAACAATAAAATCCTCTTTCAGTAATTTATGCATTGCCTGATACATCTACCCCACTTCTTGTCACTGCATCTTCGGAAATAAACTCACCACCCTGAGGGTCTCCCTCATGCCGCGCAAGGCAAATCAATATTATCGTGACGTTATCTGTGGCGCCCTTATTCAGAGCTGCTTGCGTCAACTCATCAGTGATTGTCTGCGCGGTCTCTCCAGATTTCAATCGTCGCGAACAAAAGTCGATAACCTCCCCGTACGACATCACGTCCCAGAGACCGTCGCTGGCAACAACTAAAAATTCATCTTCACTAGTCAACTTAACAGAGATAGTATCCGGATTTGAAATGATGCCGGAGGGCTTTCCATCCGTGTACATATCTAACTTAAATCCTGCGTCGCCAATAGCACGCGTAACACCTAGGCTAATGACACTTGGGTTGAACTTAGGATGGCCAACGCGATTGTGAAAGATTTTTCCCCCTGCATCATGCACCCGCTCCACCTCTTTTGCGTTACTCTGCAAAGTGTGTTTGACGGTTAGCACATTTGGGGTACCGCCACGGCAGAGCACCGCCTCGCAGTCACCCACGTTGCCGATCACAAATGTATCATCTATAATTACGACTACAACACACACACACCCGGATTCATTCCCGTCTTCCTCTGGTCGCTTCAAAAAATCATTATCCGTCTTTATAATACTGTCAGATATAGCCTTTTCTGGGCTCGACATGATCTCAGGATGGCCTAAGATGAGCTTGTGGAGGTGGTCGCGCAGGTACTCGGCACATTGCGTTCCGCCGTGTCCGTCGTAGATGGCAAAGAAAGGTATCCCGTCGCCTAGCATGACGTATTGGTCCTCCATCGTGCGGCGCACCCCCTGCTCCGCCGTGGCGCTGAAGTCCATGATTTTCACAACAGCCCCACGACGGGTGTCACCCTTTTGGCATGAATAATGCTGGGATGGCTCCGAGGTATTCGAACCGCTTCCCTCACTTCGTAATATATGACTAGATGTGTTGCAAAAAGATTTAAATTCTGACGATGGCCACATAGAATAGTTTTTCGTTTGATTAATCGATGTAGCGGGAGAAATTTCATTTCTCGGAGTTCTTGTTGCCACGTGAGATTCGGTGTTTAGAGGAAAACGCGATAATTCGAATGCCGAGTTTGTGGCCATTCGAGGGCTAGGAGGGGCAACTTGATCGCGAACAATTTTTTTCCGCTTGACTGGTGCTTTAATATTAGTTATGCTACTTTTGGGGGTTTTCTTAACCTTCGAGGCCGGCTGAGAAGAACTCTGGAAAACTGGCTTTCCGATACCAGGCATTGATGTATTTTATCAATCTAAGAAGGGAAAACACCTTACCTGTACCCTTCTCACAAAGACCTACAACCTTTGTATTAAGTGTGTAGTATTCAGTGCCTTGGATAAATAAGGTGTAGTGTGTTTATTTATCACCTTTAAAATTGAATCAATTTACCAAAACGAACCAGGGGCTAGCTATAAACTAAAACGATGATACTAGTGATGTCGAATACTCGGAAGCCTTCAGAAAATAATTAAACTAATATGTGAATCTCCTGGATAAATGTAGAATCAGAGCCGAATCCTCAGAAAAGAAATAAAAGAGCTTCTAACTACAAAGAGAAGTAATCTTGGAAATAAATACAACGTAAACAACAAATTCTAACACTCCACCTGTCGCAGCTATCAAATTTTCGGGGAAAAAATGGAATAGAAATCAGAAAGGAGAAGAATCCTTCACGTAAGCGACATAGCCTTCCTTAGACGAGTTCGTATATAACTAAGCACATTGTACATAAACGATGAAAAAGTGGTAATAAGGTAAATTAAAACGTTATTACCGACACCATGTCCATAGTACCCTGCTGAAACTTAATAAGCAACAAAAATAGAAAAAAGGAAAAGGATAAGCAAGAGAAAATCGATTTCGGCTGGTTGAGTACAGTGTTGTTCTTGTGATAAATCACAATTAAAGATCGTAGAGTTACACTTATTGCTTCGCTTTACAAATTAATACTTGCGACTGCATTTCTGTATCATTTGATTTTCGACTATGAAGACTAAGAAACCTCATGCATACGATTATGAAGTAGTTTAGTACAAGCTTCAAGTGTTGTTCCCTCTGGTATGTCACAGTGTAGGTCCAGTTCCTTCCATGCATTCTGCAGAAAATCGACCATGGTGTTTTCCTCAATGGAACTTGGCAGTTTAGCCACTAACTCCAGCAAGCACGGCGACGAAATATGCGTCGCAAGTACAGATGTATATGGTAGAGTCAGCATGCAACGAATAGCGAAGACACAGCATAGATACTTCCACTCATAATAAATGCGTTTCCGAGTTTCTAGGCCAACATCAGTGCGATAGTATGTCTGTCGAGTGGGGATAAACATGCTACCGCTACGAAATAAATCGCTAAAGTTACTTCCAATGTAAGTCTTCAATTCCAAGTTGCTCTCGGGCACATCCTGCTTAAACTTTTCTTGCAGAGAAGTTCCTTGCTCAAGACAATATTGTCGAGCCTGAGAAAGCTGATTTGTGAGAAAAACATACTGACTTCTCAGAAAATGTTGCCCTTCTGGAGTATTCGTGTGATACGCAAAAATAAACTCCATCAGTAAAAACAGATATGGGATATCGAGAAGATGCGCGAGTGGCAACACCCCATCTGTCTCGGGAGATCTCAACTCCACTATGTCGAGCAGTTTCCGCACCCCATTCATATCTTTCGTAACAATGCAGTAAAAACTCATTCCAAGCATAGCGTGCCGCACCGCTTGAGCGAGAAGGAAGCAGTTAGCTTCATCGTGTGCACAGTAACCTTTCTCAGCCTTACGAAGGGGAAGTATTAGTCCCTGATATAAGCAGCTTAAGGACATCTCGCGTACAAGTTCGAAACAGGCATCAGTCTGCATGGATGGACTGAGCAGGATGCCAGATGATGTTGCTGCCGACGGCACATGTAGCTCAGCCCATGCGGCGGTTCGCTTGCCCTGAAGAATATCAACGGTACCAATTTTCTGCAGTTTATGCAGGAGACCTAAGATAAACGGACTAGTCAATCGGCAACTATCGGAACTTTCAACATAATCTTGCGCGTGCGTCACCAAGGTAGCGCGTGAGGTGATACCAAGGTGAGCACCAGAATCCGAGAAGGCCACAATCGGGTTGTTCAATAGAAGTGATACTGATGGCATGAGCCCTTCCGAAAGCTTGGGGAGGCACACTGCTGCTAGAAAGTCACAACACACTCGTACGAAAATATCAGCAAGATTGCTCTCCAGCAGTTCCACTCGTTTCCATGAGACATTTTTCATCAATTCCAATAAGGTGTCGCAGCTCAACTTGAGAAGATAACGATGCCCACTGCATGCATGTAGCATTTTGTGCAGAGAAAGGTATACCAACATGCGATAGTCAGCTTGGTCCAGGACAGTTTTGCATGGCTTTGTCTCATGCGCGATAAGGGTTGAAAGTATAGGGCGTAGCATGACGCGGAACAGGGATTCCTGAACTTCTTCGGAGAAAAAAACAGCGTAATGCTTTATCAGCATCCATATGGAGCTGATGGCATGGCATCTCACACGCACTAAGTCATGCATCACCACAATCGGTATTAGACCTTCAAACAATGACATCCAGAGGTGATAGTTACTCTTCCCCGTACATGAAGTTGGTTTCTCAAGCAAGTTCGTGGTACTAAGAGGCTCCGGCGAGAGAGAAACACGGACAAGATGTTTGGCAGGGTTTTGCGGCAGCTCAGCCTCCCCGTCAGTGTTAGGAAAGCGAAACGCCCAGCGCAATACATCCTCTGCTTCGCAGAAGCCAATCGGTGGGGACTCAAGACCGTACTGCAACCAATGTCCGCATGCTACCAAGTAAGAAACAGCACGTAAAGGTATCTTTTCGTTCGTGTTGCTGACGCAAGAAAAGGTGGTAAGACAAAATATGAGATCATTGAAGCAGTCTTTGACAAAGCTCAAATGTCTGCTTATGATATTCTCGCAGACTTCCCAAGCCGACTCGGTTACCTCTGGTATAACGGCGGTACGGCTTAGGCATGAAAACACAACGTTCCAGCCGCTTGCCAGGTGCTTCGCAAGAAGATCAATTAGTTCTGACAAAATCGTAATAACACGCTTACGGATAACTGGGTCGTGATTGTTCATCAGAATATCCTCGAAAGGCATGAGAACCTCCTTCTGAAAAGAGTAGTTGAGAAGTTCCTCTCTCATCAAGTATGTCAAGGCGATGATTCGCAGACCGTCTAGAGACAAGTTAGCAATATTCATATGCATTCTTCCAGCCAGTACGAAGACCTCACTCGCATTCGACCATAGCTCCCGCCACTGTAGCCGTGTAGTGGACGAGGCGCAGACCGTCACAAAGTCAAAAAGTTTCGAGAGGGAAAATGTGCGAGCGTGTTGTAGCTCACTTTTGCACACCCTCACGAGCCCAATCGCCATTTGAAGCTGGGTCATAGGTGGAAACTGGGTAATGTCAAAAAGGCGTTCAAGCCATAGATCGACGGAACTGATGCGGAACGATCGAATCGTTCTTAATATGAAACCGCGACGTTCTATTGCGTCGGGATCGATACTTGAAGGAGCCTTTTCCAAAGGTCCGAACCACAGGTCCTCCGGCGTGGTACACCTGTGTGCTGATCTGGAAGAGTCATCAATACCTCCTCTGGGAAATTCCGACAAGACAGGCCCAGGTGGCGACAAGCATTTGATGTGGCGCTTCCACATACCCTCCAACCCATTCGCCAAAGTATCGAGCAGAGAAATTGCAGTGTAACCTGTCTCCCACGCTCGCGCAGTAAAAGATACACCACTTGAAATAAACAGATTTAATAAACAGGCCAGGAGCTCCAAACGAGTTGGCGAAATAGTTTCACGAATTGTCACCTGGAAGGCAGCTTGCACTGGATTTTTTGCCGTAATGACAATTGCTTGCTGCAATTGGGTCATCTGAAAACAGTGTTCCAGCAACAATTCCAATTGTTTGACATTTCCAAAGGAACAACACACATTCACAGTGTTAGTAACACCTCGAAGAAGAATTTCGAAAAATTCGTGATCCGCGGTGTTTCGCATGGCTGTTTCAATGGCTTTACTCTTGGACTGGGTACGATTCGCAGGGCCGCTTGATGAGAAGGTTTGACGTTCTGAGTCCTCGAGCAGCTGCATCAAAGAGTTAATAAGCTGGTGACAAATGATTCCAACAGATATTTCCCACATCGGTAGTGCATTTTCAATAGAGGTAGCCGACACGTAAATCGAGTTTGGTAAATTCTTTGTGGACTGTAGCCCCTCTATAACGTCCCTGAGAGCCTGGCGGAGCTCCTTTTGATACATCTCCTTCCGCTTGCGGTCAGCCACACCGAATAGATTGTTACCTAGAGTATCTATGGGCAACAAAACCTTGTCTGTAATGGCAGACACTATAGGACTAAGGTGGCGGAGAATCGGGATGGACTGCAAGATGCTACCCTCCAAACGTTTTCCATCCAAAGAGTACCCTCCTGTATGAACCCCTCCAGTATTATTGCTCTCACTTACATCCAAAGATAAACCTTTTCGGAAAGACTTTGTTGGCCGCAAAACGATCTCCCTTTGCGTAACGCGTTCATAAATCTTACTAAGAAGCACAGGGTCAAGATCTCGTCCGCCATCAATACCTCTGTTATTTTTGATAAATCCCTCCTCTGTCATTTTATCCTTTATGTGAGGACTATGCGCGTCCGTATTGAGCATGCAAACGGAGTATGAGAGAATAAACGCCGATTCCGCTGAACAAAATTGGTCCGGATTCTGCCGACAGTAGTGAGCGGCGAATAACTCCATCGTCTTATCCACTATCTGAGCCTCTCCCAAGAGCTTGAATTCGCCGAGAAACAAACGTAGTGCCTCGTCTAACTCCATGTTACGAAAGTTGTAGAGTTTTATCCATTCATCAAGTAAGAGACGCGAAGCCTTGCTTCGAATGCACTTAGCAAAGTAACCACCGAGAACGAGTCTATCCAGGTAGTCCCTATTTTCAAAAAGAAAAACAGCTACTTTGCGAGCTGCTTCCTTCGCTGCGGCATCCCCCTCCTCCTTATTAACGACCTCAGAAAAAAAGAATCGCCTTCTTGAAGGAGCCACTGCATTGTTCTTTTCAGGAGATGTATTTGGAGTATAATTATTTGGGGAATTAGTTGCTTTCTTTATGCTTGCTATTGCCAACAATAGAGCATCTTTTGCATCAAGCCCTTCACTTTCTCTATCCGTGCTCGGCACTAGGATTGAACTGCATAAATAATCAATAGCTACTTCTGGGCTAGCCATTTCATTAAACAAAATAAAAAAAGCCTTAATTGCGTCCTTGTAGCGTTTGGCTTGTAAAAAAATCTCGTTTTGTCTGGTGCTAGTATTCTCAGTCTTTGTGTCGTCTTTGGGAAGTAGCTTAGTATCCCTCTCAGCTTTGTCATAGCAACCTTCATCTTTTCCCCTCACTTCCTGTTCAATAATATCGCTCTCATTGATAACCACAAAACCTGAGGTAGACTTCACCGATATGCTATCTTCATCATCCTCTACATTCAAAGGTGCAAACGTCTCTAGTGTCACGGATGCCGACGTTCGTCGAGGGGGCTTCGCTTCTACCTGTTCGCATTTACGGTCGTCTTTACCCTGTCCTGTCGTTTTAAACCGATCAATCCACTGAACATTGGATCCTGCAACGAGGAGCAAAGTAGCCAAAGCTTTTCGCCGCAGCGACTCTGGAACCTCATAGGACAACTTGGCCTTTTTAAAAGCCTCTATGCTCTGAAAGTAATTATCTTTGTCATAGTTGTCGAACACAAAATGATTATGCAAAGGTCGAGAAAGTGCATCGAGGTAGACGATCATTTCCTCGTAGATGCTGTAGGAACGGGTGTTACAATCGTAATTCAAGAAAAGGTTCAGAAGATTTTGTGGCTCTTCGATATAGCGCTGAAACACTTCTATTACCATGGATTTGTGCATTAGCGAGGTGAACTTGGATTCCAGCACGCGAAAGTAAACGTGCCGAAATATTGTAGAAGTTTCATTAACAAGTTGCGGTCCGTAAGTTACACAGCACTGCAGTAGAACGTTAAGGGAAAGACGAAAAATATCAATATCACTTGAAAGTGAGGTTCGCACCACAGCAGGAATAACGTTTTGCCGAACACAAGAAATCACAGGTCCTGTCTTGCGAAACACGGAGCCACCGTTCACTATGATATGTAGAATAAAGTTAAGAGCTGTAGTAAGAGCTATGTAGTTACGGTATGGCGCAAGTACTTTATTAGAAGCATTATTATCCATCATGTTTGTCTCACAAGATGCTGCGGGTGGGCCCACGACAGATGAAGGAATTGCTTCAGAGACAATATTACCCTCAGCATCCGTATCCCCGGAAGTCAGTGGAGCTACCTGAGCTATGCTTGAACAAAATTTCAGCACTTGGATCAAATCTTCTCCAGGCACAGCATCGTCATTGTTACCATTGTTCTTGCTATCAAGTTCATTCTGGTCCACGTGCAACAAATGTGATGTCCCGCCCTCCTCGGCCAAGCGTACCTCAAGCTCAGCATGCTTAAAGATAGCCTTTACAACTTGATTCAATGCCTTTTTTACTTCTTCGATCAGTATCGATGAGATGTTGGAAAAGGAAAATATTGAAAAAAGTAGCTGGATTACTCTAAGGAGGCGCATGCCATGCAGCTCAAGAGTATGGTACCTAATATCAACTGTGCATAACAGTTGGCTACTTTCACGGCACATGCAAGGCACAGCTGCAGCCACAAGCGACGCAATAAAAATAAAGCAAAGCTTTTCATTGGATTCTTTGGACTGAACTATATCGCCACAACCAATTACTGCATCAACAAGCGATTCGCGAATGTTAATCTTTCGTGGAAGAGGATTGAGAGGCGATGCAAGTTCGTCCGTTGAAGCAGAACCTTCCCCACGAACCATATTACTGGAGGAACCATGTTTCGATGCGGCTCCAGATGTTTTACTTCGAAGTATCTTGGAGAAAAGTTTGTTTGTCGTGCTACTTGAAATGCTAAAGGTTGGAGGAACACACTCAAGTCGGCAAGGAAGTGCTCCAGAGTTCAGTACCACTGCTGCGAGCTCAAGTGCATTCACAAGGGTTTTAGTGGTATATTTAGGTGAACCACTACCATTATGCCCCACGTCACGGGTAAGGGCAATACTACACGCAAAACTAAGCCTATTGAGGGCTTCTTCATTAGACAGATACTGCAACCTCGGGTCGAGCGGCGGCACGCCATCCTCTAAATATCTTTTCATACGGTAATCCCTTGAGCCTTTGTCTTCAGCAGAAACAACGAAAGCATTACCAATTTGAACAACCTCTTCATTAAGAGAAGTAGATACAGCACCGGTGTCGTAGTAATACTCATCCTTTACGACAAGCTCAGAGGCCAACTTACTACTTTTAGCCCTCTGAAGATGCTCCCTTATGCTATTTACAACACTTTGTAGCGCGCAATACTCTTTAGTATCAGGTTTCTCTTCACCAAGTGCGCGTTCGCACACTTCCAGTATTTCATCTAATGTCTGGTGCATCAATAAAAATAGTCTAAAAGGGGTTAACCTTGTGAAGATAAAACGTGGACTTTGTAAATGTAAGGAAAAATAATGCTCACTCAATTCTTCGGCTATCTTGCACCTTTCTCCAATATGCTGAAGGAAAATTCATTTTCAAAAAATAGAAGAAAAACGAGACTACAAAAAGTCTAAGCCAAAGGAGGCGGTAATATACACTTTTATTGCCAGCAGAAACAGCTTATTGATTAAACGCTTAAAGAAAACACCCTGAACGACGCATACGGATCTGAAAGCTGGCTTTATTATAACAATATTGTATTGTGCTCAATAAAAATAGTTTTTTAAAACATTTCAGACTTCAAAATCTGTTAAATTGCTCCCTTTTTATCGCGTAAAAAGTGAAAAATTAACACGTTTACTGTGTTGTTTATGAAGCATCAAGCATTTTTTTCTGCTTATAAAAGTTTCTAGTCTGTTTTTAACCTAATACAAATCCATTATATATGATAAAAATAGAATTTGAATGCCTAAATGAAAATAGCTCTAAAAATCTAAAATGCATGACCATATATATAGTTAGGCAAGGTAAAGCATTTTTCTCTTAATTTTTCGTTGTTCACTATGCTTTTCCCAACAAATTAAAACATTTGATATAGGAAAGTGCTCCTCAGAAATCCCTTGTGAAACCCCCCACTATAACCCATGTTCCTTCCCACTTTTGTGACTAAGCTTTTTATTTGTGCATTTTAAATACAGTTGTAGGGCTATGGAAGCATAACTTTACCCCTAGTCGATGTTGCACTTCACCTGAACAAGCTAGTAAATAATGTTTTCATTGGTAGCAAACTCAGACCTCATACACAGTTTTTTACTTACCTGCCAAAGAACGTTTTTTTTTTACTACAGCTTGAGCAGCATGACCATCTTTGTTTGTCACAGAATTGGTGATAACAGTTGAATGAACCTTATTTAATATATCAATTTCTCTTTGAAGGCGAAAAACCTCAGCATCTGACTCGGCACGGAGCTGCAAAGCACTCTTTTCACCTTCGCGAGCAGCCTGGAGCATCTCAGTTAACTCCTCAAGCTTTTCAAGGGCATCTGAAACGTCCTTATTCTTTTTCTCAAGCTCCTGATCCATCTGTTGCATATCTTCTTCGTGTACTTTGAACATAGACTCCATTTCTTCTTTTAGAATGCCAACCTCCTCTGATTTCTTCAACACCTCTTCCCTGGCATCGACAAGGTCCTTCTGGAGACGGCTAACTTCATTGCACAATTCATTATTTACAATACATTCATGTTCCAGTTGGCATTGCAGACGATTAACCTGGTCTTGGAGTACAGAAACTTGTGTTTCATATTTTTCGATATCATCTTTGTGAATTTCCCGATGCTCGAAGAGCTCACGCTCGCATGCAGCAAGGCGCTGGATAAGCTCCTTCTCATCCTTGCGGCTCTGTTTCCTCACAAAATCATTGAGATCATTAATTACCTGATTGTATTGATCAGTCTTTTCCCTCAATTCGTTGACCAGGTCTTCGGTACGCCGGCTCACAACATCCAAGTCTACCTCTAAAGACCTGGCTCTGTGTTCCCATGAGACTACATTTTTCTTTTCAACTTTTAATTCATCCCGCAACTGCTCGATATCTCGATATACTCTTTTCAATTCAGCTTCCTTGGAATTTCTTTCTGCAATCATTAGATCGATTTTCTCCTGCGTTTTCTCGAGTATGCCATTGTTCTGAGGATAGTTACTTATAGTCTGTCGCGAATATGGCAATTGATTCTTATCCGTGTTCAACTGTGTCGCCGCTTCATGCTCGGTTTCATGATATACAGGAATCGCTTCTATTATTCTCTCGTGATTTGATTTCGTCTTGGTGTTAGCTTCATCAGTGATGTCAGGAGTACGCATAACTTCATCCATTTTCCTAAATAGGATATCTAGGTTCTGCTGGAGTTGCTCAATTTCAGCCCTAGCCTCTATTAATTCCTTTTTCCCCCCTTCACTTTCACCTACGAAAAGAGTACGAAAATTCTCCAATTCAGTTTCTTTTTCAGTTAGTAAAAGACGAGTTACTTCATAATTTTGACGAGTATCGACCAGCTCTTGTAGCAAATCTTCAAGTTGCAATACTACTTCCTTTTTAGTACTCTGACTGTAAGCGGCAGAGCTAAATGCATCCTGAATAGTGGAGCTCATCTTTTCAAGCCTCTCCATCATGTGGATATTTGCATCTCTTAGCTCACTGAACTCTTTCAGTGTAACACAGAAAAGTGGCTCAGACCTAAGGATATGCACTCGTACAGGTACTGAAGTGTCAGTATCAAGCGCATTCACACTATATTCACACCTCAATTTATCATCCATCTGACGGGCCTTTAACGCTTCAGATCGTTTTAGTCGAAAGGCCTCGATTTCCTCTCTTTGTTGTTCCAAGGATGATTCTAAATGGGAAATCTTTATATTAAGAGCTCCTTTATCATCTTCATATTCTGTGATTTTATCCCTTAGCACATGCTCCATCTCCATCTCTTTTTGGTGAGCATCCTCGGCTTTACGTTGAGCCTCTTCGAGCAACTGAAATGCTTCTTCGAGCCTATTCAAGAGGTCAGCGTGTTTTAACTCATATTCCTCTAAATGATTAGAAAGAGTATCATTTTTTGACTTTTCTAACTTTAGCTGTTCTGAGAGTTCAACTGTACATCGGCGAGCTTCGAGAAGTTCCTCTGTGGTGGCAACGAATAGTGGCTCAGATGCGATCACCACGGGGTCTACTGGCGTATGTGCGGCGTCTTCAACTGATAAAGCCCTATCAGATACACACAGCATTATCGGCTCGTGCGCACGAATAGCCATCACAGTATTGTGTCTCACACGGAAAGCCTCCAGTTCACCTGTGTTGAATAATGCTTTGTTTGTTGCATTTTCTAATTGTATTGATTTGCAAAAATCTAAGAGTTTAACTAATCTACTTTCCAAAATTTCGCTACTTTTTTGTTGTTGTTTACTTTCCTGACTTACGACTTCCTCAGACTCCAATAACTGAGTTGAGCTACCTGATAATTCATTATCGAATCTATGTAGGTATTCAGTTAGTTCATGCATTTTTGACTCTTGCGTATTCAAGGCTTCCTGAGCCATTTGTGCGCGTATTTTCATGGAATTATACTCATCCATAGTTATTGAATACGGAGGCTCTACAGCTGATTGAGTGTGCAAAGGGAAATTTGCTTCAAGACGCATTTGATCGATATTTTTACGTCGCAAGTAATGTAACTCAAGTTGCTGTCTCTGTTGTTCAGCAAAAAGCTTTAATTGATCGATACCGTGTCGAAGACTGGTAACCTCAGTGGCCAAAGCTTTGTTTTCATTTTGAGAAGCAGTTATATGTCTTTCTAGTTCACCATTCAACCCTTCTAGTGAATGCTTCAAAAACGTATTATCTGTCCTTAAGTGAAATGAAATCATGAGAAAGTCACTTATCTCACTCTCATATGCATCTTTGATACCTTGTACACTGTCTAGGTTCATATTTGCCATAAAATCATTAAATAGGGATCCTTTGGGGCTTACCTTAGATATTTAAAAAAAGGAGAAACTTTCCTATACTGCAAAGCCTAGGCCTTTCTTGGGTAACAGCATGAATAGACAAACAATATAGATGCAAAAAAGAAAATAATTTTGAGTTAGAAAGCCTACGCTTAGTAAAGATATCGAAAGAGGTTGTAATGTTTTTTTAAAAATCCTTCAACTTGCTTTAATCGTCTCGAAATGAGCTTCAATGATGAGATACATCGGACCCTAGAAACAGAGCACAACCCCTATGTAGAAGCGTCATAAGCTTCGTCAGAGATATGTTCAAATAGCCGTGTTGTCTCATTTCATTCAAAATTAATGGAATATTTAGTCTTCTCATAATGCTTTCACAATGGTCAGATATAATGGATGATTTCAATTTGCTTTACCCTAGACTGAAGTGCGATCAGTCAGCTAAATATATTTGCTGAGTTCAGTACTGTCTTGGACTTTTATATGAAAAGAAAACTAGGATCCTCAGATATTTTTTACTTGATATATTTACATCACATCTGATTCAAATCGAGTTTGCGAGCCGTATGTTAGATGAGGTTTGAAGTCACAACATTGCATCAATCTAAACTCATTGAACTAGAAAGGCTGCTTCAGTATAGCGTAGGCCATTTTTGATGAGAAAAAAAAACATTTTGATGCTTAGCAAAATTGTATACTTTCCTGGAAAAATTAGTATTGCAGCCTCTATTGATATAGGGATGAGCCTTCTTGATGCTAAAATACAAATCCATCCCACTTTAGATTCTCAATGTCATAACATCAATTAAGAATATGGACGGCACATTAATTAATATTTAAAATATCGCAATGAGAAAAACTCTCGATTACATTTTGTTGATCGCTGCAACCACTTGACAGTGATGTACTGTTACGCGAACTTTGCACCTAACGCCTGAATCATTTTAGTTCTGCATTGGAGTATTCTAATTCTGAAAAAAAATGAAGCCTAAAATCGGTATCCGACAGCTAAATTCATTCCCTAGAGATGGGAACGTGATTCTCAGTTGTAATGATCGCTCTCAGCTACGAACCTTTTTTCTATACAAAAACTTTTCAACCAAATAGAGTCACATTCAAGATATCAAATTAAAACGAAAAGAGTAATTAAATTCAAATTTTAGTTTCTGTTGTGATAAATATCGTTTTTCACGTTGTATGGAGGTCAACCCGGTGTTTTTCCTTCAAGTAAATACCTTTGAAAGTAAGGCAAATCATTTGAGTAGAACACTAGATGACCACAAATATAAAATTCCGCAGCTAAACTAGAAAAAGCTTAAAAAGAAGTCAAGGTAATAAAAGGTAACAAAAGGATGTGAAAGGTGCCACGATCCTTTCACCTGCAGAAATGTTGCTTTAAAGGGCGGACAGATTGAAAAGTAAACCCGTTAGAAAATTGATAGGTGAATTTCACATGTTCTTGATGCAATGGACCTCCCATTTCGTTTCCCTGAAAGCAAGAATTACGGCCACAGCTTGCAAGTATATTATGACGAAAAAGTACACGCTCAAAATAGAACAAATCCAACAGCCACACCCCCCGCCGGCAGGGACATCGACTTGAATAGCGTCAATTGGAAAAAATTAAGCATTCGTAACCGCTATTTAGCGTCAATAATAATAAGTGCAAGAACGGCCCCGTCATATCGCACTACGAAAAAAAACCTTATGACTCTGCACCGCCGTGGGGCTGCCAGATCGACCCTACTCACACACGCCGCGGCAAGTGCTCAGATTCACTTTTGGTGGCCATGATAATACCTTTAACATCACCCAGTTTGTCATTTCGACATCAGTAAGCATCTTTTATTAACAAACTAATTCAAACGATGTGACGTTCCCCGCGGCCCATGCGGGGTGGCGCGTGGCCCCATGGCTGTCTGGAAAGCCCCTAACACACAAAGGGTAAGAAAGGAGGGGGGCATTTATTCATGCCACTAAGCTTATTTCTCTGTTCGCACGCCCCTGTGGAATATCAGATATCTTCGAGACATCTTTTTAATATATATCGAGCATGTGTTCGAGATAATGCGACAGGGGGGGGGGGAACAAATGACACGTGCGAATCGGCAAGGCCGCCTAGGAATAGGGTTAATATCATGACGAACAGGAAAAGACAAAGATGCTTTAGGCAGAGGCCTAAAATTACCTCTTAAACAGTTGTTGATGAAGGATAGCGCTTCCCAATGCACAAGTTACTCGAATATAAATTATTTTGTGACAGATAAAATGACACCCAAGCTTTAAAACGCATCCATGGGTTGTGGTTCCCATATTCGCTGCTATTTTGTTTGGCAATTTTTGGAGCCTACATGTAAAACTGAGATAACCGCGGTATATGCCGGCCACTTCTTGGTACCGCGGACTAAAATCCAATTGGCGAAGCTAAGTGCATGCGCACCTTCCCGTTATCGGCGGGGGAATATGGGCTTGGCCAATGGCGCCGGTTGGGCATTCGACAGGGCCCCCCCAAATGCCGTCCGATCGGATAAAACATTCCGACTGAACACTGTTAACGCTTATGTGATCTTCAGATAAACTTCAAACATACTAATGTTGACCAGGCCTTGCTTTAACATTGTGGGGATATTTATGAGAACCATTTGCCCCCCAGCGTAACGTAATTGAGTTCAAACGGACATAGGGACCGCCAAAAGTGTATATTTGTGACGGGGGAGGATCTGTGGCACCCCCACCCCGCCCAGAGGAATTTTCAAAAGCTAATCAATACCACAAATTTTGGCCAATGGGGGCGCAAAAAATAATGACTCCAAGCGCTGGATTTATAAATATTGATTGTTTAGTGTCATATCTTAGCCCATCGATAGGCTGATAATGCTATATCATGCGATGCTATTTCTTTACCTGAATGTTACAGGGGTTTTTGTGTAGCTATAGTATTTAGTGATTCTCTACCTGCTCTGTTGAATAGGGATTATCCAAATGGTGATTTGTTTTAAAAATGTTGCAATAGCATTTATTAAAGCGTGCAAATGATAAAATTATACATTTATTCCGTGGAAAAAGGCATGGGATGGTTTTACGATTCATTGTGTTTTTATTCATAAGGTGTAAACACTTATGGAAACATAACTATAAAACATAATGTTTTTTTTATTTATGTTTTAGAATAACCTTGAAGTAAATAAAAAATGCTGATTACATGAGGGGCGCAGTTTTCGGTGCAGGAGCGCATGCCCGATAGGGTTTGGGGCGGTGTCGCTGATATCCATGTGCTCGGGCAATTTTTATACATATATTCTACTTCTATTCGTTGAATGTTATGTAAAATAGGAAAAGTGGATGTAAAAGGAAAAAACCAAATACCAAACGTAAATAATAGAACTTCATCGGTTTATTTCTCTTTGGTGCGCGTGTTGGCAACTTCAAACGCGTTGCCCGGCGGAGAGGGTTTCAGCGGTAGCTATCGGCAGTTTATAAAATTATTGATTGGATTTTTAACTATTTTTCACCCTCAAAATTTAATTTATTAGCGAGAAGTTCCATAAAACAGGTGAATTTGGAAGCTTTTTTCTAATATTTGTATGGGGGGTGGTCTTGCCCTTGCGGGCGCCTGGGTTTGAATTGTAGAGGGCCTATGGCGGGGTAAAGAATTGAAATTTCGCCATATTATATACAATGTGTGGCTTTTTAAGTATTTAATCACATATCGCTAGTTATAATTTACGTGTTTTTATTCATTTTATATTTGTCTTCCGTGGCTTCTCGGCGTGGGCCTGTTTGGGGTTTGGGAAACACCCCCGTGCGCGCGGCGTGGAGGACCCCCGGCATAAATTTAGTACACTGTGTGGGCTTGAACATCTGAATATTCAATAGTGGAAATCACTGGTCCCCGTGCTACCAATCTGCGCGGATGATACCCCAAATATGTTTTTTGATCCTGGTCCCCCCCCCGGTGGGAGAGAATCGTGTGGCCCGTTCAGATGGATTCGGTTCTGGCTATACGGGGGGTTTCTGGCAGTGGGCCCCTTAGAGTCTGGGATCCAGCCCACCCAGGGGGTAAATTGCGCCACCAGAGCTTGTGCAGAGTATTTTTTCGAGGGGCATTATTCTAAATCTCACTTGGCCTGGTGGCGGCAGGGCTGAAATTGATGGTGGGCGAGTTTATTTTTCAATGGCCTTGTCAATGTGTTATTTTCAACTATAAAATATTTCCACGATCACATGACGGTAATTTAACTAGCTGTAATGATAAGATTGAAGGTGTATGGTTGGTGTGATCTTTTCAGACTCGTTTTTACAAAACTTGCCCTGGAATTGCGTGTACGCGTGTGTGGAGGATTTTCGTTAAGATAGTCATTCAAAGCTTTGGAACTATTGCCGTACGGTAAAACCAATATGGATAATGACAAAACACTAGTAGGAATGTTGTAATTAAATTCTGAAAAGAGTATTCATACCACAGGATGCCTCATTAATAGTAATAGTATTTCTTCCAATGCACAGGGTACTTTAAATTCATCATCGAGAACAGGGGGTTTTATGGCGCAAAATATGCAACATATTTTTGTAGATGTGCTTTTCTTAAATTTTGTGTTTTGATACTGTTGATGTGAGGACTTTATTTATTATTATTGTTTCCTAGGTTTACTAATGGAACAATAGAAAAGACGTTTCTACTATTTTCAATATTACTATATCTATATGAACTTTTCAGAACCAAAAACCTTGGTCTTAGTTAGAGAAGCTAGTTCAACAAAATGGAGTAAATATGTTTGTTTGCGCATCCTTTGTTGTTCAATTCATCTTGTCATAAAATGAAGAAGAGTATTGCTTAACACTTTTCCCACCATTACTGTTTATTTATCAGCTGCTAATGACAAGGTTGGTTCTTATTCATTCATCTTACTCGCTTTTGCATCTATAATCTGAGCTATAGATTATCATTCCAATGCTATAATTAAATATCGCTTGGTCTTTACTCGTAGCATTTCATATAGATTCAGGACTTTGGCTTCACTTGCTTCACCTTTCTTTAATATTTTTTTCCTTTTTGGGGATGGATATCAGAGTGAGGATGTATGTACCAGTCTTCCTTATTATCTTGTAACAATAATAATAATGTGTCGTTTCAATTCACACGTTATATATATATATATATATTATGTGGATCATAAAATTTTCCAATTTAATGCTATACGAAAATACCATAGCACCTTATTTTCCATATATCGCTAGTTAAAATCAACTGACATGACTAGCTAACTCACTTTTGTTTTCTAATCTATTACATTAGTATTTGTTGTAAATAAATATTTCTTTCATCATATTATGGAAAAAAAAACTATAATCAATCAATATACGTACTATACAAAAGCGTAATTTTAGTAAACGGGAGTATGTTTTTTTTTTTTTTATGTGTCTCTTCTACGATTAATATGAAACCTTCACTAAATATTTTTTTTATACAATGGTTCCAGTTTTTTTCGGAAAACACGTTATCAAGGACAACAACAAAAAAGAAACCATAATTGTTATTGATTTGAAAGAGTGTTTTTTAATGAAGGGAGGCGCAATGTATTCAAAAAGTGAAAATGATCAGCAGTCTTCCAAAGATCTGAAGATTTATGATCTGGAGCTCCTTGTAAAGGATCTAAAGGCCAAACTCAAGGAGTACCATGGTTTAGAAACCAAGCTTGAGCTTGCTAACAGGAATTCTCGTGTTCTTGAGGAAGAAAATGTGAATCTTATCATGAGACTTAAGAGCATCGAAAATGGAAAATCGGACCCCAAAATTTTGCCCACTAACATAGAAGCTATGAAACTCATCACCGATAATAAGGATTTGCGGCAAGCTTTAGAAAATGCTTTATTGGAAGTTGAAAAATCTAAAGAGAATTTTCAAAGCATGATACTTAAATTCGAATCTCAGATACGTCAAATAACTGAGGAGCGTGATATGTTGTTCAAGGAAAACGCTCATCTTCAAAAGGAGCTTGAGTCTACTAGACGTCAACACTTTGAGCTCAAAAATGCACTGGAAGATGAACTTGCGATTTCAAGAGCTGAAATAGATGTGCTTGTTCGAGAAAAAGAACGATTGACTGAAAAAAACGCCATTACAACATCTTCAATAAAATTTCCCGATGGATCAAGAGGTTCAAATTCTGAGCCCTGTTCAAGGATAGATCCAACTGCGGTTTCCCTGAAAGAACTCCTCTTAAAAGAAGATGTTCAAGAGCTCGAGGCAAAATTGAAAGCTTCGGAAGAACGTCTTTGGCAGAAGGAAAATGAGTGGCTTCTTGCCGAGGCTAAATTGAGGAGTGAAGTATCTGCATTAAGGGATGGTAATAGCAAAAAGATAAACGATAACGAGATATATCGCACATTACACGATCAAATTTCTACCCTCAAACAAGAGCTTGCCGCATTTCGAGACAATCAAACTCCATTTTGTAGATATTTAGAAGCAAGGTATGCCCACACAGATCCCGAACTCCTTTCAACTGAAGGTATACTAAACAGAATGAATAGCAGCAATCCTTCTGTTGCTTCCATGATTAATGAAGCAAATACTTTGCCAAAAGGACAACTAGTTTTGCATAATCGTATCAATTCACTCACAAAGGAGCGAGATGATCTTCGTGAGAATTTGGATAATTTAAAAACCACTTTACTTCAGCTACAGTCTGACATCGAAGAGAGAGACGTTCGCTGCAAGAAGCTTGAAGTCATTCTGGCCACTTCGAAAAATCCAAACTGCACTAATATATACTCCAGGCCAGATGATCCACAAATATTAGATTGCGAATTTCCGAGGAAAAGCGAGCATTTGACACGAAGTTCAGAGGTCTCACAGGAGGATGAGGTGACAGTGCTGAAAGAAGAGCTAAAACAGCTCCGAAGCCAAGTAAATGATCTGCATGCTATTCAAGAGCAAAAAGATGCAATACATAATGTTCGCTTAACAGAATACCAAAATCAAATAGCAGAGCTTCTTGATGAAAACGATAGTCTTTGTCAGAGACTGAATCGCTCTTCTTGTGAAAAAGGACTTTCAAATAATGATCAAGATTATCTTGAGTCTGTGCTGGCTTTCGTAAGGGATAAGCGAGAATCGATTGATGACATTATGTGTCAGCTTGAGGACGCGTGGGCTAAGGAGGAAGAAGCATCACGCCAAATAAGGGAATTTAACAAGCAAGACATAGCAATGGCTGGATATGATGCAATGAAGGAAGGGGACATACACCACCTGCAAAGAACTATTGTTGATCTTGAAAATCAGCTGCTCACTGAACAGGGCAATCATGATCTAATAGATGAGCTGAAAGGTGAACTTGCTCAAAAAAATGATGAACTATTGTTTTTGAGTGGCAAAATTAACATTCTAAGCGAAGATCTCGACGATGCAAAAAGAAACGCGCGGGGAAGCAGTAGAAGTTTAGAAAGGGAGAGGGAAATTTCCAAGAGAAGTTCGCGTGATGCGAGAAGTGTATCTGCACGAGGGAGGTCGCACAATGCGAGAAGTGTATCTGCAAGAGGGAGGTCGCACGATGCGAGTAGTGTATCTATAAGAAGGAAGTCGCGCAGTGCGAGAAGTGTCTCTGTAGGGAGAGGGTCACGATCAAATGCGCGCGATACTAGAATTAGTGCTCTTGAGCAACAACTTGTTGAAACTCGAAGTGAAATAGACCGTATGTACTCACGCATCTCGAGGCCCTCTCGGCGCAGTATGCCTGTAAGCAATCGGGCCACCACCATCAATTCTCAAGTGCGAACACCTGAAGAAATTATCTTGTCATCCAACCGTGTTCACTCTCCTGAGGGAACTAGCAAAATTGCAATTCTAGAAGGTGCACATCTTGCTATTACAATCGTTGAATTATCAAATTTAATGTGCAAGGGATGCCTTATTACCGAGCCTGGAAGTGTCGTTATCAAGCTCAAATCAATCAAAGAAAAGTATAAGACATCTGTTAGAGAATTAAAGACAACAATCCCATTTGATGAAACGTTTCAATTTTTTCTTGCTAAACCTGATCAGGACGTCATTACTTTGCATGTTTTTTATAAGACGAAGCGTAACTCGTATGTGTATCACATAGGTGATGTGTGTTTTTCAATGGCGACACTCTACCGGGGTGTTCCACGTCGCCGCATTGCTCCTGTGGTACAATACCCTGGTACTGCTAACGCGTGCCGAGCAGCAAGTATTGAGGTTGTTTTACAAACTAATGATTTTGGAAGGATGTATCATCCATCCGATACTGAACTAGCGGAAGAAGCACTCCGGTTTAATGATCTGGCCCAAAGGTTTGAAAGAACTGTCCCCGAAAAGCTCCATGCAGTGGATGTTTACATGGCTTCCACGACACTTTTGTAGTTTGCCATACTTAGATGCTACTAAGATAAGCCTTCTTTTTGATATATTTTTTAAAGAAAGTTGATTTATCAAAATCATGGGCTTTATTTTGTATCAATATTAAGCTATTTTCAAATTTCATGAAGCTGTCGGCTCAATATAAGATAATATTGCCTATAATTTACTATTCATCGATGAAGATCAACGGTTATTATTTCTTTTTTTGAGAAGAAACAGACTGAGAATAAATTTGTCCCTTCAGCTTTTGCGTTTTTATGCATATTCTTGAATATCGTGAAACTCTCCGTATCCAAAAGGAGAACGCTTTTATGCATTATAAAATTTAGATTTTCGTTGCACTCTATTCGTGAAATTCAATTTTTAGATCTGTTCAGTGTTTTAATTACAAATATTCGTTCCATAAATTACAATTTCTACTACTTTTGATGTTTTTCTCTTTAATTATGTAAACCAACGTACCCTTTCCTAAATCTTTCTCCACGGATCGTTATTTTTACGATAAAGTTACTTATAGTTAGTTACCTAACGCACACACACCCGCATAGCGTTTGAAAGGGACGTTTATATGCTCTGTATTTTGGCATTTTTTTTTCGCAATATTGATGTCTATACACACCGAAAATATATACGCGCATATTATCTACATTATTCGTAGTATCTGATCTAAGCAAAGGCTGCCAAAATTGGAGCATCTTATGCGTTACTACGAAAATGAAGAATTTTCCTCTTGATACTGAACTCTGGCTTACAATCGTGAATGACATTGAGGTCTCTTCACTGGTGTATGAGGGGTCCTATATTGTTTATGAAGTTCTTAATAAGCAAAAAGACCGCGTCGTGCGGTCTGGCATCGTTAAGTCTGTTAAGGATAATGTTGTGACTATTATCCGGCCTTACCCAACGCAAAAAACACCCACGGTATATGAAGAAAAAGAACGATTATCGAATGCAGGCTCACACTATCTAGAATTATCGACGACTTCACTTTCTTCAATACACCAGCACCTTCAGAAGGTCGAGACTGCTCAAGAGAGTGTCTCAAAAATATTGGACTCACATATAAACGAGATTGCTGGATACTCCTCTCCGCCAAATCTTGTTTGTGTTGTGTTTCAAACTGTGATCGATATTATGCGCATTCCTATGAGTGATATTTCATGGAAATCTATCCAAAGTTTTCTGCGACAGGGAGGATTTATTCAGCGCATGACCTTGTTTGATGCAAGCAGCTTGTCTCAACAGGAACGCGCAGATGTGATTCAACGGTTTGATAGTTCTGAAATACTAAAAAGTGAGTCAATTTCAAAAGTCCCACATGTGGTTACGCCACTTTTAGAGTGGATATGGGCCCAAATCGAACTCTTGAAATCCTTGAGATGTCAAGAAGATTCTTGGGATGAGGTTAGCATGTTCAGTTGTCGCTCACATTGGAGCGATTTCACCACTGATACTCATGGGGACAGTTCTGGTCAGCCCCAAAGAGCAGTTTCCCATTTTCTCAAACCTGAATCTTATATTGAAGAAACACTCCTTCGTAGTTCCATTTTAAACGTTTATTCGTGTGAACCTCCCGATAATGATCCTGTCACAGTCCTTTCAGAAAAACTCTGGAGGCCTGAGCTGATGAAGTGCCTTCAAAAACGCTTAGTAGAAATTGCAACTACGCATGCGTTATTCCATAAAAATTTAATGTCTTGCAGCACACAAGAGACTCTGCAACATGGAATTCTATCTGAAAATCCCGCTAAATCGAAGCACGACCTTAGTGAGTTTGACGATAAATTATCGATGCACAAATCAGAAAACTATATGCTTGCTGAAGAGAAATCGAAGGGAGCATCTTTTTCCAAAAATAAAGGTCTTCAAAACAAAATCGAACAAATTCGAGTCTTGCACGACAAAAATAAATCGTTGATAAAAAGTCATTTTCTCTTTATCTTCCAGGACAATGAATGCATGGCTCGAATGAATAATATACCGGATGAATTGCAAAAGGCGTTTGCGTGTGAGGTAGCGCAATGTTGCGGTGTGCCTCTCGAACATGTTGTTGATGTGGTTTTTGCAGTTGGCGCTCTTCGAGTTGATTTGAATATCCTGCATTCAGCGGTGCTAAGTGCCGACGCTCTGTGTGCGAGATTGCACGCACATAGGCTAAGTATTCTGCGTCTTTTTGATGTAAATTTTGGAGGGCCCCTAAAGAGGATTTTCGAGGGGAAAGAATATACATGTGAATTACAGACAAGCACTGCACAGCCAAACACGGTGACACAGATTGAATCCTTGCATGACGACTCTACAGAGTGTGAGGGTGACACTTTTCTTACGCAACGAGAAGGTTTCAAAAGGGAGATGGATCAATTTCTAGCAAATAGGACACTCATTGAACGTGAGCAGGTCGGTAAAGTAGTGGATCCTTTCGATGCAGCTGATTGTGTAGTAAACGAACTGCCGACAACTTCGGATTATCACCTAGACCAAAAAGAAGCATTACTCGAAACTGCAGGACTAGAGAATGCCGTTGGGGCCAAGGAAGAGTCAGCTTTAGCTGCATTTGCAGAGTATCAGCTTCAATCCACAGCCCTTACGAGTGAAAATATAATATTGCGCGAAAGAATCTCGGAGCAAAGGGAAGTAATTGTACAGCTCAGGGATAGAATTGATCAACTCAATAATGAACTTCACGAATTAAGGAGTAAGTTAGGGAGTTTTCATAAAAGCATATCCATTGAAACGATTACCTCACCGAGGAAGCAAGAGACATTTGGATTCGTTATTGCGGATGATACGGCAAAGACTCAGTCTCTACAGGCAGATCTGTTACACTCAAGTCTTGTTAATAGTGTTCAACTGGGGATACAACAAAATGATGCGAATATGGCTAAGAATTTTTCTAGTGCTAATGAAAGTCTCGTTGATTTGAGTGCTGATCCCGAAGTTGTAAGTCAAATATTCTTTCAACAACAAATGGAACTCCGAAACTTGTCTAAGATTAGCAAGTCTGTTAAAGGTCCAAACGATGGGGTTCCAAAATCCATTAAAAAAAGATGCAACATCAATTCGTCTCAAAGCGAAAGGATAGCTCACGAGGATGAGGAGGCACCACGACAGACATTTGCTTTAGCTAGTATGAATAATCTTGAAACTGTCTACAGTCTTTCACGTAAACCAGAAGCTTTGCATAAGCCATGTTATGAGGAGGCTGAGATTTCAGTTATACATGATACGAGGAGGGTGCGTTCACTTGCAGCTCCGCACGGTTTGCTGAAGGGAGGCACTCCATTAGGCACAAATGATGAAACTTCAACATTCTGCTTAGACCATTCCGTTAGTTCGAGTGATGCTGCTTTGCAGTTTGGTGGACGTTCATGCGAGGCCTCATCTTCCAAGACTGAGTGCCGAATGTGTGCACAATTGAAGCAAAGCGTGTTACAGTATAAACACTATTGTCATCGGATTGAGTGGTGTTACACTGAGAGTAAAAAGTTGAACGATACGCTTTTAGAGCAAGTGGGTTTACTTAGGAGATTCTAGGAATTTTTTTTTCTTGTTTCTCAAAGCTGAATCATGTTTATATGGACTCTTTCCTCAAATGTGTTGCTGACTTATCTTGATGCTAATTCTATTCAATTTTCTTATTCACTCTTTGCGTCTTGTATGTTGCAACTATTTTATTCTCATCTGAATTATATTTTATTTTAGAGAAGCATGAAGGCTGTTTTGTCTAATTTTTCATACATTTTATTATTGTTTTTTCTTACAACTTCTGATTGTATGCGGATCTTATTTATACTTGATGCTTTTTATACTCAAAGTTCACCGCAGCTAGTGCATGGACAGCATATATTGATCCATATTTGTTGTGAATATGGTTATTTTACCTTCTTACGTTTGTATTGAAATCTTGAGCCTTTTACATTTGTAAAATTTCCATTATCATTAATATTTGTTATCAAAATACGCATGCTGAATGAAAGAAGCACATTTTTGAGTCGTTTATTTTGAGTGCATGTAAAAGAGATATGACTGATGATGAGTGATTTAGAGTAATTTTTGAATATCTATACCTTTTTAATGCACGGATGTACAACTTAATATTTGTGCTGAGATAGCAGGTTTTTTCCCCTCCCATTACCCCCCATGAGGGTGATGTTCTCATGAGTGGACCTAATCAGCATTTCTGCTTTGTAAATGTGAATCTTGACAAATACTAGGACATGTGACAAAAATGTTTTGAATCACAATTTTGATTCATCAACAAACTAACATTATATTTGATGCACACGTGTTGGAAATATTTCTCACCCCTGTTTTTAACAAAGACGAAGCCTACGGAACCATTCGTTCTGTTTTTGCCATTGTAAAATAAAAAGAATAGTTGTCACAATTTATTCTTTAATTTCTCTTGTAAAGCGTTTAGAATATTTATTGCAGGGAGTCTGGCATTTATTTTTAAGCACATCAAATGCCAAAGTTACTTTTGCCGACCTTCATTCCTTCATTTGAGGAAATGTCTTTCAGTAGGGCATGTTTAGCAGAATCCCGACCACTAACGGAGTTTCCTAATTACTCAGCTGAATCTTGTTTCATGAATATATGTACACATACCAAGAGATCTGAGGTGGCGACCTCTTCTTTTTTTCCAGTGGCAAACCGTATGTTTAAGAAATTTGAAGGTGCTCACTGGAAGCGTTTACTCGATAATTCCATCGATTTGCTTCGGCAAACCTTTACAGTGGAAGCTAGCCGGGCATTAGGGGTTTCACCCGAAAGAATTCGGGGCGTAGAGTTTCGTCTGGGGAGTCTCCACGTGACTTTTCACGTTACTCACGACGATGACTTGTCGCAGGAAGAGATTAATCAACTTATTGAAAACTACCCCTTTAGTGAAATGTGGCGTCTTTACAGTCAATTTAATGGTGCTGCAGTCGATTTGGATGGCTTAAGTAATACTATTAAGGGTCTTGAGGAACAATTGGCACAAAAGGACCTTGAGTTAGAGTCTACCCGCAAAATGGGCGAACAAAAAACATGCGAATTCACGAAAGAAATCGCAAGGCTGCGGAACAATTTGGAAGAAGTGGAGGATCGTGAGAGAAACTTAATCAAAGAGTTAGCAAAGGAGGGGGAAGACCGGAAAACAATTGAAGCTCAGTTCGCTGCATCAAAGGAGGAGAACCAAAAATTAGAAGATGATCTCAAGGGTACAAAGAATCATTTTGTTGAAATCGCACATAGATATAAAGAGTCAATTCTCGCTATACTAAAAGAAAACAAGAAAGAAAGGGAAGCTAAGGAACGCGAGTTAAGGGATCAAATCGAGATGAAGAGTTACGTTATTCAAAATCTCGAGGCAAAAATTAGGCACTTACGAGGTGCCGAAGTTGACCAACATAGTTATCTTAACGGAAACAACGATGGAGCTTCAAGCAGACCTGTGCCCCATATCAAAGAGTTGTCATTACAGCTACGACAGATCGAAAGATCAGAAATGGAGGTGCGCAGCGAGCTTGGACGTTTATCTGAATCCTTAAAGATAGCATAGAAAGCTTAATGTGTCGAGTTAGTCTTGAATCATGGGAAATTTTTTTATATTCCCAGGCAGATAAAGGTACTCAAATGCGCAGTGCCTTAGAAGATTATAAAAAATTCGCAAGGAAATCATGCCTACATCTGATAAAAACAAGCAGGGTCAAAAAAGAAGCTGATTGTGTACGAATACGTGTATGCCATAAATGGTATTATGAGCACCTATCACGATGAAATCAGTTTCTTGAGAGGAATTTGTGTCGTAGCAAGCGATAGCACTTACCGATGCAGACACTATACTCTTCAGACACAAGGAGAATCTGTATTGTTGAAGTCTCATTTTAGATGCTTTCTGCACAGGTATAACGGTGTTGACAAATTTCTATCAAATACTCTGGGGCCAGTGATATGAAAATGGTTCAAGGAATTGACGCAGGAGCAGCCGATGTGGAAGGGTTGAAATGTTACAATAGTGATAGCCTTCGTTCTAGATTCTAAGCAAAGGAGCTTATTCAATCAGAAGGCTTGTATTGAACCCTACTAGGATTCACTGGATGAACTCATTTATTCGTTGTGGGGTTTTGAAAGGCGCATTTGTTAGAGAATTAATCTCGATAAGCCTCCAACTTCAATAAATAGACACACGTCGATGCATTTTCTACGTGAAAAATAGGGGTAATTGATTTAAAAGTGGTAACTGAAAGATATCAGGGATTATAGTAAGTTCTCTATCGTTACTTCCATAGAATATGATGCCTTCTTCAGCCATCCCAATCAGACTAGGGGTTGATGAATGGATATTTTTATCCCTTCTTTTCTCATTCAATGTAAGGGTGCTGTTTGATTTGAAATCTAAAGCAATCCTTTTCTGCTGTAAAGTCATCTTTTTCAGGTGGTAGTTTATGCATAGAAAACACCGGACTGAGATGAATAAAAAAACATAAAAACATGTATACCTTAATATATATAAAGTACATGTATATGTATATACATATATAGTTCAGGGAAAAGCGTTAGTAACCTGCTCCTTTGCACGGTTTTATATACATGAAAAAAGTTTAAAAAATACATATATCAAAATATCGTAACATTTATTTACTAAATACATCAAGTAAAGAAAATATTAAACTACTTTTTCTAATACCCTATTATAAAATATTTCTCAATATAGAACAACATATATAAAGATTCGCAAAAAATAATAATTTCACCCACCAAAATATCAACAATGCCGCCACGCCCGTCCCGCGATGAATACCGCCGCGCTCCTGGTGAAAAGGAGAAGGTCCAGGGTGCTGAGAACGAGATTCGCGTTTCAGCGAGCCACGGTCAGCACAGCTACATCGCTTATGCCATAGCTGTGCTGAACGGTGAGGATGGGAGGACGAAGAACGACACGGTGAAGATCAGTGGCATGGGTGGTGCCATCTTTAACGCTGTGAACATTGCGGAGATTGTGAAGCGTCGCGTCTCGGGCCTCCACCAGATCACGGAGATTGCCTCTGAAGTCGTGAGGGATGTGTACGAGCCACTTGACCGTAGCAAGAACCCGGACAACCTGGAGATCGAGCGCAAGGTCTCAACGATCCGGATCACGCTGTCCCGCAATCCGCTGGACAAGAGCAATCCCGGATACCAGGAGCCGCTTCCTGAGGACCAGGTAACCGGGCAGGAGCGACGGGAGCCCAGCCGCACTCGTGGGGAGCGTGGGGGGCGAGGGGGCGGTCGTGGGGGCCGCCATGATGAGCGTGGCAGGGGCCGTGGAGGACGTCGCGGGGGCCGTGGGGGTCGTGGTGGGGCGAACGTTGACGTCGACCGTCGCGACGATCGCCGTAGTTAATGGGGAGATCCTATGTATTTAGGTTGGCTCTCAAGGGGCCCTACGGTGGAAGGGCTGGCAACTGAAGCACAAATGGGTTTAGTGAGATGTCTGCAGTGCAAATATAAATGAGCTTGACAGGGACATGGGTAGTGCGCTCCCAGATTTAAGTTGTGGATGATTTTTCATCGTAGTATAATGATGGATTTTGATACGATGGCGACTAATGTCAAGCGGGATGTATTTCCTCGCACCAGTGCCGCACTAACATCTCACAAGGACGATGCGTTTTTTGAGTTTTCTTTTCCCATTTACGTTTGTTCGGTGTCACCCTTGCAACAATCCCTTTTTGAGATACTGCCCTTCATAATGGAATTGGGTAGGCGCATGATTAAGGAATCCATCCCGAAGCTATTTCAGTGAAGCGACCAAACAAACTGACCTTGGAAAAGGATAATCAGCTAAAGTCCCCAAACTAAAGTCCCTGACGGTTGTTGCTTTGTGCTTTCCGAATATCCTAACTTTGTTGTTTCATAATACACCTGATTAGAAGCGTGATTGTGGAGTAAATTACTGAGGCTCTTTCCTAGCTTGCAAAACAACGTTTGGAGGAGTTCACTATTTTTGGTGAGATTTAAAATGAGCTAGCGTGATACTTGTAGAACATTATTCAATGTATGAAAATTAATTCGACAGTCAGGTAGAGAAGCGCGCACATCGATTTAGGAAGCAATCAATCATGAAAAATAATTACAAGCCTCACCTATCCCGTGATAAAGAAAAGAAGCAGCAGGCTTTCTCGTTCGTTGTTCTAGTAGGGAACGCAAAGACTAGGATCAAGGAAGAGAAAGCACGCTTGCCGGTGTCGTTTATAATAATAATAGTTATGTTACCCTTTTATTTTTGAGGCTAATTTACAGCATGGGACGAATCTGTGGGAAAAGAGCTCAATATCAAGCTCTGTCTTTTTCTTTAAGAAACTGAGTTCAGGGGGAAAAGTGTTGTGATAGTAAAGTTGTACACATAACGATCGAGGCCTAGAGGAAGTTTGACTAATAGCGAGTGGGCAAATGTGCCTTCCGTATGTTTTCTCATTTATAATCTTGTAGCTAACTATGTCTGTTTTATACCACGGCGCTCAGTCGTCATTTTAAAATGCAAAAAGGTAGATAATGCGTAGCTTCTTAATTCGCGCTTACCGTGATGGAAATGCGATTACAGTTAGAGCGACTGTGCATGTACGGTTTTTTAATTTCCAACTTTGTCAAGGTATGTGAAATATCCTCTAAATCTTCCTACTATACTGTTAAAGACGAACCCTCAGAGAAACCTAGTGTAACACACACACACACACACACACACGAGATCAACACCCACTTCAACAATGCCGCCACGCCCGTCCCGCGATGAATACCGCCGCGCTCCTGGTGAAAAGGAGAAGGTCCAGGGTGCTGAGAACGAGATTCGCGTTTCAGCGAGCCAC